GTGAGATACTTTGTCAAAAGCTTTGCTAAAATCTAGGTAAAATGTATCCATTGAATTCCTTTTCTCTATTAGTTCAGTAAGCCTGTTAAAAAAGAGGAAATGAGGTTAGTCTGGTACGATCTAGCATTCTCGATAGAGCCAATAATTACTGCTTCCCTTTCTGGATATTCACTAACAATTTCTTTAATGGACTTTGCTAGAATTTCCCCAGGATTCACATGCAAATTCCCTGGCATATAGTTTGAAGCCTGTTCTCTTTCTTTCTTAAAAATTAGAGTAACATTTACTCTTTTCCAATATTTTTAACCATCATTTCTTAAGCACCTACCTTATGCTAGGTGCTATGCTAAAATGCTTTACAAATATTATCTTATGGTACCTCTCCCTCTTTCCATAGTCCTTCACTTCTCATTGACAATGGCTGGATAATTGTATCTTCAAATGCTTTCAGTACCCATGAATGAAATTCAGCAGAGCCAGACTACTTGAATTCATCCAGAACAGCTAGCTGATCTCTTACTCTTTCCTTACGTATCTTGACTATCAACTCCCTTTAGCCATTTTTGCTCTGTCCTTCAAGGGCAAAGGTCACTCTTCTTGGCAGAGAACACAGATGCAAAATAAAAATCAAGCATCTCTGCTTTCTGTTGTCCACTGTCATCATTCCATCCATGCCAATTCAAGGTCCTATCTCTCCCCTTAAACTCCATTTTCTCCCAATATAGCTTAAAAAAAACCCTTTTTATCCTTAGCTTTTTTCACCAGCATCAGCTTCCCCTGAGATTTAACATTTCTGATGCTATTTTTAAATGACTGTTCCTTGTTCTTTCATTTATCCTCTTACTTGACCCAGCTTCCAATTTCTGGACATTTAAAACCTAAGTTGGTTAGAGAGTTCCCTGTGTATCCATATCAGTCTCTTAAGACAGTACCTAAGTCCTGCCTCTGAAATATACTGACTATGGGCAAACTATTTAACTTCTAAGGCCCTAGGCAGTTGCCTACAAGTTACAGAGCATGTGCTAAGGGAATTTCTTCACTGGAAGTTCTTTATATCAATGAAATTACAGATCTAGTCCAAAAAAAAATCCCTCTCAGTGCCTCACACAGTGGTCTGAACATAGTAGGCATTTAATAAATGTTGCTTAATTAATGAATGGGCTATACTTCTTTTAAAAATATTTTATAGATTTCAATTTTACATCACCACTATTTCCAAATACACCTCCTTCCTCTCCCAGAGAGCCATACCTTTTAGCAAATATTTTTAAAAGAGGGGAGAAGAAAAAAGTAATTCCTCAAAACTAAACAACACGTATGCGATGTTCTATACCTGTAGTCCCCTATCTCTTCCAAGAACGGGGGGAAAGTGAATTTTTTCATCTCTTCTTCATGGCCTAGCTTGATCATTATTACACTCAACATTCGATTTCAGGATTTTTGTTGTTTCTTCCTTCCACATAAATTATTGAATTAATTGTGTCTATTGTTTTCCTGGCTCTGCTTAGTTCATTTTGCATCAGTGCATATAAGTCTTCCCATGCTTCTCTTAATTCTTCTTCTTCCTCTCCCATAGTGCAACAATATTCCATTTCATTCATGTACCACTACTAATTTAGTCATTCTCCTGTTGGTGGGCATCTGTTTTGCTTCTGAAAAAAAAAATGAATGAGCGCCATTTCATTACAAATATTCTGTGCTTACTAATTCAGACTGTTCTCTTCCCTGGTTATCTGTCTGAATTGTGGCTTCTGACTTATAGAAAGGAACCCAGAGATCCCATAATCTGATAGCCCAGGAGAATCCTCCAGAAACCTGACCTCTGGCTAAGAAAAAAAAATCAAACACAGGAAAGCAAGCAGCACACAACCTGCTTGACACACTGAGAATAAGCCCAGAAGATGGTCTCCACGCATAGAGAGTAATAATTAGGTCATTTTCTCTCTCAACAACTTTCAGGGGCTCCCCAATGTCTGCTTTAAAAAGCATTAACTCTTTTGCTTGATATTTGGGTTAAATGTCTTGCATCCCCTATTAGAATGGGATGTCTTTGAAAGTAGGGTTATTTTGCTTTTAGGATTTGTGTTCACAATGCTTGACAAGTGCATATGAATTTTTTTTTCATTCATTCATTCATGACCCTACTACACAGTGTGGTTCCAAATTCATTTTTTTAAACTTTCTCCCTTTCACATACTCCCCAGCCAAACAGCATTCCTTTTGTCTGATCCATCCATGCCTAGAAGAGATACCACCACCACCACCACCCCACCCTTGACTTCATCTCTGCCTCTTGACCTCCCATTCTTTCTTCCTCTGAGATCCCAGAAGAGGATCCCCTTCTTCTATGAGGCTGTCCCTAATTCCACTGAGTTAGCAATGAGCATGCCCTCTTCATCTTTCTTAAGTCACTGTGAGTTGTGAGCTCTTCGAGTACATGAGAATTCACCCCTTCCTCAGCTACACTAGACTGTAAACTCCTTGAGGGCAGGGATGATGCTGTTTTATTTTCACTTTTGTACCCCCAGCACCCAGAACTTCCTGCTTCCCCAATATTTGCTGAACTGTTCATAGGAAATTAGACCTAGAGTTGGGAAGGACCTTAGAGGTCATCTAGTCTGAGCCCCTTTATTTATAGAGGAGGGAAAAAAATCCCATAATTCCTCAGTGATTTGCCCAAGATGTTGAGATAAGGAGTAATGAGAGAAGCTTCTGTCCAAGTAGAAAAGAATATAGATTTAGAGCTGATCCAGACCGTGGGGTCACTGAGTCCAACCCACGATTTTCCCAAAGAACCTCAAAGAAGGGAAGGTGATATCTATGGTCACATAACTGATAAGTGTAGGTGCTGAGTGATGGAACAGAACCGTAGGATCATATATTTAATTTTTTTTTCATTTAATTTTAAGATCATGTATTTAGAGCTGGCAGGAACTTCCCCCAAACTATACCTTAACCTTTTGATACCTATCACATTCAATGTTTAATCAAGTGCCCAGTAGGTAAAAGGCATGATGGTATAAAGGCCCTTGGTATGAAGAGTTTAATGAGACATGGTTCTTGTCTTCAAGGACCCTATGGTCTAATAGGAGAAATGAAGTCTTGGATGCAATACAAGGCAAATGATAAATGCTATGAGAGAGTCATATTCTCCTTGTTGGTATTGGTTGGGGGAGCTGGTTTATATGTTTTCTTAGGGGTCCAACAGAGCAGGATCTCAAACTGGAAGAAGCCATAAAGATGATCTAGTGCAGAAATTTTTTTTAATTAATTTATTAATTTTTAGTTTTCAACATTCACTTCCATAAGCTTTTGAGTTTTAAATTTTCTCCCTTCCCTCCCCACCTCCCTCCACAAGACAGTATGCAATCTTATATAGGCTCAACAAATATATTCCTGTTAAAGATATTTTCACATTAGTCATGTTGTAAAGAAGAATTAGAACCAATAGGAGGAACCACAAGAAAGAAGAAACAAAACAAAACAAAACAGAAAAAAAGGCAAATAAGATGCTTTCAGACTTCATAATTCTTTCTCTGAATATGGATAGCATTTTCTATCATGCATCTTTTGGAGATGTCTTAGATCCTTGCATTACTGAGAAGAGCTAAGTCTATCAAAGTCAGTCATCTCACAATGTTGTTGTTACTGTGTACAATGTTCTCCTGGTTCTACTCATTTCACTCTGCATCAGTTCATTCAAGTCTTTCCCAGATTTTTCTGAAGTCTGCCTGCTCATCATTTCTTATGGCACAATAATATTCCATTACATTCATATACCACAACTTGTTCAGCCATTACCCAATTGATGGGCATCCCCTCAATTTTCCATTTCTTTACTACAACAGAAAGAGCTACTATAAATATTTTTGTACACATATGTCCTTTTCCCATTTTTATGATCTCTTTGGGATACAGCCATAGAAGTGGCATTGCTGGGTCAAAGGGTATTAGTACAGAGATTCTTACCTGAGGTCCACAAACTTGGGTTGTATATATATATGCACATATATATATGCACATATATATACACATATATGTATGTATGTAGGTATATATATGTATATATAGAGAGAACTTGTTTTTTTAATATTTAAAAAATGTATTTCAATATAATTGTTTCCTTTGTGATCTTATTTTGCGAATTGTGAAATAAGTCTGAGAGCTAGAACGTAGGCTTCACCAGGTCTAAGGAGCCCATAACACGAAAAAGGGGAAGAATCTCTGATCTAGTCCAATTTTCCCATTTTACAAAGAAGGAAACTGAGTCTCAGAGAAGTGAAGTGACTTGCCCAAGGTAATATAGGTGGTAAGTAGCAGAGTCAGGATTTGAACCCAGGCATTCAAATCCAATGTACTCTCTACCAGAATGCTAGAAATGCTAGAGCTATGGAGTGAGAGTTGGAAGAGAAATTGGAGGTCATCCCATCCCAGCCTGAAGCCCTGAGACATTAAGGGTCTTACACAATATCATAGAATCATAGATCTAGTGTTGGAAGGAACCTCAAAGCCTGCTGAGTCCAATACCTTCATTTTTCTGTTGGAGAAGCTAAAGTCCAGGAAAGTTAAATGATTTGCCCAAGGTCACGCAGAGTCAAGATTTAATCCAGGTCCCTTAACCCCAGACCAAGTGTTCTTTCTGTTATATCACACTGGTATCCAGAAAAATGTCATTGTTGTTCAGTCTTTTCAGACTCACCATGATTGCATTTGGGATTATTTTGGCAAAGATAGTGGAGTGGTTTGCCATTTCCTTCTCTAGCTCATTTTGCAGATGAGAGAACTGAGGCAAACAGGGTTAAATGACTTGCCCAGGGTCACACAGCTAGCTAATAAGTGTCTGAGACCAGATTGAAACCCAGGGAGGTGAGTCTTCCTGACTCCAAGCCCAGCCCTCTATCCACTGCCCCATCTAGCTGCCCCACCTTCCAGAAAAATAATTTCCACTAATTGCCCCCGGATTCTACTCTCTGATGCACCATCTTTGTTCTTTTTTCTAGCCCCCAACCTCGGGAAGACAGTCACCCACCAAGAATGGCAGTCCTACCAAATGTCCTCGCTTTCTCAAAGTCAAGAACTGGGAAACAGATGTGGTCCTCAATGACACGCTCCACCTCAAGAGCACCTTGGTAAGCAAGCCCTCCTATAAGATCTCTGCCTAGGGATCTCTTCCTCCTTGTAACAAGCCTCAAACCCATTGGTGAGTGGGGGGGGGGATGTCTACCCCAAGCAGGTGAAGACTTCCCCTGGCAGAATGAGAGGATGAGAATAATTTGTTTCAGTGGCCATGAAGGTGGCTGAAGCAGGTGCTGTGGAGCACTTAGACTTTGATAAGGCATCAAAGACCCCAAGGTCATCCACTGAACCCCAGGCCATCACTAGTCATCCTGACTTCTGTCCTGCCACTGAACTTCAATGACTCTAGAAGGGAGAGTGAGGCTGAGGACTTCATGCAATTCTGCCTCACTTAAATCCAATTCATGCACAAGTCAAGACAGCACCCCACTATGTCATTGGTCCTCTTCAAAAACAAAGGACAAACAACACCACCATCTTCCTAGTTCAAGCCATTATCACCTTACACCAGGGCTGTTTTCAAACCTGTGTCCTAACTGATTTCCCTACTTCCTCTCTCTCTCTCCCCGCAACACTTTCTGCTTGACTAACCTTCCTACATCATCATCATCATCATCATCATCACAACAGCTAACATTTATATAGCGCTTTAATTGTTTGCAAAGTACTTTTCAAATATTATCTCATTTGATCCTTGAAACAACCCTGGAAGATAATTCTAATTATTCTAATTAGGAATCTTCCCTATTGCCTATGGACTCACTTCTACCAATCTCATTTACCTTTCACTCAACCGCTTCCATTGTCTAACTCAAACTATGTCTGGACCACAGTGCTCAGTTCTAGGCACCACATTTTAGGAAAGATGTTGCTAAGTGGTTTCATAAAATCACAGCATGTTTGAGCCAGATGAGACCTAAGGAATAACCTGGTCTTACCACTTCATTTTACAAAAGTGGAAACTGAGGCCCACTGAAAGGAAATTATTTGCCCAATATCACCTAGGTAGTTAGTGGCAGAGCCCTGCTGAGAATTCAACTCCCCTTGCTTCACAGTCCTGGGCAAAAAATGTTCAGTAACCATGGCCCTGTTCCATAGAGACAGTAATTGAGTAAGTTATTCTTAGAAAGTAAGGGCCTCCCTGCCTTCCCCTCTGGCTATGTTAAATGAGCTGTGTTAGAACCCCCAACATGTCATTTAGTGATGCCCTAAGAGAATTCCTTCCTCTCCCTAGGGAGGAAATCTCCTTATAGAATCACACTTTTAGAGCAGGAAAGGTACCTTGGAGGATGTCTAATCCACGCCATACCTAAAAATCCATCCTCAAAAAAATTTTTTAAATAAAAAAAGAAAAATTCATCCTCAGTAAGTGGTCATCCAGCCTTTGTGGGAAGAATTTCAGTAAAGGGAAACCTTCTACCTCCCCCATTCCAATTATATCCCAATACAAAGTTAAGAGACAGTCCAGTTCAATTTTGGACAGCTCTAACGATTAGGAAGCTTTTCTTGATATCAATGTTGCCTCTGTATAACTCCCTCCCACCTTTGCACCTGGTTCTACCTACTTGGTTTAACAAGTGTAATCCACCTTCCACAGAGCAGACCTTCAGATGTTCAAGGATGCCTATCAAGTCCCTATTCAGTCTTCCTTATCCAGGCTGAACATCCCCAATTCAGAGGATCATAAATCAAGAGCTAAAAAAAAAGACTTTGCAATTCATCTAGTTTAACAGATGAAGAAACTGAGGCCCATAACAGTGCATGATTTGTCCAAGGTCACCAGGGTGACAGGGCCAGGGTTTGAACCCAGATCCTCTGACTCCAAATCCAGGATTTTTGGATAGATCTCATGCGGTATAAACTGGAGGGCCTTCACCATCTTGGTTACTGTCCTCCAAAATTCTCCATCTTATCCATGTTGTTTCTCAGATATGGTGCCCAGAATGTTACCAAGTACCACCTCCAAGCAGCAGCAGTGTGGCATAGTACAAAAAGCACAGGCGAGTGCAATAAGGGGAGCTGAATGCTCATACAGACTTTACCACTAGCTGTGTGATGCTGGGCAAACAATTTCTCCTCAGTGGGGAAATCAAGCTTTTTTGTATTTTTCTACTTTGGTAAAATGAAGAGGTCAGACCAGATGATCACTTATTTAGGTCCTTCCAGACTAGATACGATATGACTAGGGCAGAGTCCAAAGAGACACTCCCTTCCATGTTCCTGGATGACATACCTATCTTAACACAGCCTTGTCTCCTTATGGGATGACCATGGTAGAATAAAAAAGGCATTGAATTTGCTTCTGATTTGGGTTCTAATCTAGACTCTGCAGATTACTCCCTGTGTGACCTTTGGCAAATCTTAACCTCTCTGGGACTCAATTGCTTTGTAAAATTATCTGTAAAATGATACAATTGAACCAGATGGCCCCTGTGGTTCTTTCTGGTTCTAAATCTATGCATATTTCTATAGCGTGTTGCAGTTTGCAAAGCCCTTCTTTCTGTGAGGTAGATGAGCAAATATTATTTTTCTTGTTATGCAGATGAGGAAACTGAGGTTCAAACTCACCCACTATAAGTGTTAGGCTAGTAAATTTCAGAACCAGGATTCAAACCCAGACCCCTGACTCCAAGAAGAAGGTTTGTTTTTGTTCTTCCCCCCCCCATATCAACTTACCTTTGACAATTTTGTGAGGCTGGCTGATGCTGCTAAAATCTGGCTTAACAATCAGGGACCCAAGCATATGCCTCCATGACCATCAGGGCCCTCAGTTTGGCCATAGGCAGGCAAGCAGACCACAAGTTCTTATTACATATTTACTATGTGCCAAATGCAAGACTAAGTATTGGGAAAGGAAAGAAGAAAAAAAAGAGAAGGGAAGAAGAGAAGAGAGAAGAGAAGAGAAGAGAGAGAAGAGAAGAGAAGAGAAGAAAGAAGGAAGGGAAGAGAAGAGAGAGAAGGAAGAGAAGAGAAGAGAAGAGAGAGAAGAGAGAAGAGAAGAGAAGAGAGAAGAGAAGAGAAGAGAAGAAAAGAGAAGAGAAGAGAAGAGAAGAGAAGAGAAGAGAAGAGAAGAGAAGAGAAGAGAAGAGAAGAGAAGAGGACAGTCTCTGCCCTCAAGGAGCTTACATTCTAATGGGGGGAAGACAAGCCAAACAAAAGCATTCACTATCCATATTTCATTGGCAGAATCCTTACTCTGTTTCTCTCCTTTCTCTCTAGAACACAGCTTGCACTGGGCAGATTTGCATGGGTTCTATCATGTTCCCCTCCCAACATATACGGAAGCCTGAGGATATCCGGACAAAAGAACAACTCTTTCCCTTGGCCAAAGAGTTCATTGATCAATACTATTCATCTATAAAGAGGCAAGTAGAAGTTGCACGTTATCTGGTGTACTTAACACAATGTTCTGGGTTGTTGTCTTATCCCCTGGCTTGATGGTTAAGCTCCATGAGAACAGGGACCTTAAGTAGCTAAGTTGTCTCCCCCAGCACAGGGCTCTTCTTTTAATAAATGGTTGTTGAATGAATGAAAGAAAGGAAAAAACCCTGGGGATCATGAGGTTTTCTATCAGGTAGGAGAGGTATCCTCTACTATTTGACATCCTCCTTTGATGACTCATTATGATTTACAAATGACTCCCAGTTCTAGAAATCTATGCCAGTGAGACAGAAGTTCTGTCAAGTCTGAGTGAAGACCTAGTGGTGAACTGTATATTTAGGGTCTGGAGACCAACCAAGCTGGTCTTAGAACTTACCTAATCCCCAAGTGGATCATGGAGTAATTAATTTTTCAATGACCCCAGCTCCCAAAGACTAAAATATAGAGGGATTGCAATCTGAATTGGGATGGAGGGAAGGGAGGGGAGTACTTACACCAACAAAATTTTTGGACTGAAATTTTACCAGGATCAGGAACTCCTGGTATGGAAATTTCTTCTACCAACAGGGATGAGCTGCTGCTCTACAACTTACAGTTTTAAGATTGGTGCCTGGGGCACCTGAGATGCAGTGATTTGGCCAGGATGACACAAACCATATACATTGAAGGCCGGACTTGAAGCAGGACTCCCAACTCTGAGGCCAACTGTGCAGCCACTTTAACACAGTACCTCTCCAACAAACCCAGCAGAATTACAGACCCTTAAAGTGCTGAAGAAAGGAGGGGGTGGCTAGGGTGAGGAATAGTCAGCTGCTAACCGATGTGAGAGCCTCAATGTCTCTGACTTTCTAGCGTATGGTTAAACTGAGGACAAAACATTGTGCATCTCTGGACAGCACGTGTGAACCCTGCCACTGCTAGGTCATATCAGTGACTTCCCCCCCTCCTCCCCCATCTGTTCTTCCCACTCAGATTTGGCTCCAAAGCCCACACAGATAGACTGGAAGAAGTGAACAGGGAGATAGAAACCACCAGCACCTACCAGCTGAAGGACACAGAGCTGATCTATGGAGCTAAACATGCCTGGAGAAATGCTTCTCGCTGTGTGGGCAGGATCCAGTGGTCCAAGCTGCAGGTGAGTGCCAGGTCTGTGTGTGTGTGTGTGTGTGTGTGTGTGTGTGTGTGTGTGTGTGTGTGTCCCTATCTCTGTCTCTCTCTCTGTCTCTGTCTCTCTGTCTGTGTGTGTCTGTCTTTCTGTCTCTGTCTCTCTCTCCTTTTCTCTCTTATATACACACAATACACTTCCCTCTCTTCTTTCTCTCTCTCCCTCTCTCTTCTCTTCTCTCTCTCTCTTTCTCTCTCTCCCTCCCTCCCCTCTCTCTCTCTCTTCCTCCTCTTGCTTACCTCTTCTCTCCCTCCCCTCTTTCTCTCTCTTTTATTTCTCTCTCTTCTCCATCTCTCTCCCCCTCTCTCTTTTTGTCTCTTCTCTCTGTCTCTTCTCTTTCTCTCTCTCTCTCTTTCTCTCCTCTCTCTCTCATATACACACAATACACTTTCTCTCCTCTCCTCTTCTTTCTCTCTCTCTCCCTCTCTCTTTTCTTCTCCCTCTCTCTCCCTTTCCCTCTCTCTCTCCGGTCTCTCTTCCTTCTTCTCTCCCCCCCCTTCTCTCTTTTATCTCTCTTTCTTCCCTCTTCTGCCCCCTCTCTTTTTCTGTCTTCTCTCTTTCTTCCCTCCTCTCCTTTCTCTCCCTCTCTCTCTCCTTTTGCCTCTCCCTCTCCTTCTCCCTCCCTCCCTCCTTCCCCAGATCTGGATGACAATGGGATTTGATGAGAGGAAGGAGCAGTGGGACCTTACATTGAAGACTATAATAAGAAAGTGCTCCAACATGGCCCCAGGCACCTAGAAGGTTAAGTCTAAATGGTTGAACAAATCATGTCTGTATCAAGATCATGGAATAAATCACTATGAGGAATAAAAAGAAATCTAGAAAGAACTTTATGAAATAATGTGAGACAAAGACAGCAGAACCAAGATAGAGGAAACACTGACTGACTCTAACAAAGAGCAGTTCAGGGAAAAGGCTGCTAGATTGGAGGTTGGAGAAGTGGGGTTCAAATCCCAACTCTGTGACCCTGAGCAAGTCCCTTCCTGTCTCTAGGCCTCAGTTTCCTCCTCTGTAAAATGAGGGGCTTGAGCTAGACAGCCTCTGAGGTCTCTCCTGGTTCTAGAGCTATGATTTTATGATCACCTATATGATGGAAAGAAATGTAATATGGAGGCTCATAGATTTAAGGAGGGAAAGGACCTTAGGGGTCAGTGAGTCCAACCTCCTTATTTCACAAATGAGGAAACCGAGGACCCAGAGTGGGAAAGTGACTTAAACCAAAGTCACAGATCTGCAAGTGGCAGAGCCAAGATTTAAATCCATGTCCATGAACAGAGATAAATGGACCATAAAATAAAGTCGAAGAGGAGACCTAACAGGAGCGACTAGCACGTTTCTAAGGGCATACCTGCAGCCAGGTGCCAGAGAAGTTTAGAACTCTGGACCTGTAGCCAAGAAAACCCGAGTTCAAATCCTACCTCAGACACTTGCTAACTGTATGATCCTAGGTGAGTCACTTGACTTCCATCTACCTCAGTTTCTTCATCTCTACAATGAGGATGATAACAACACCAACCTCCCAAAGTTGATAAAATGAGATATTTATAAAGTGCTTTGCAAATTTTGATGTGCTACATAAATGCTAATTACCATTATTATGATGATTATAATTAGTAGTAGTATTGCCTTAGACAAGTCATTTAATCTCTCTGGGCCTTGGTTTCCTCATCTTTAAAATGAGAAGGTTGGTCTCTAAAGGTTTGCTTCAGTGTTAAATCCATGATCTTCTGTGATGCTTGCAAAATACATTTCATGGGTTTTATTGGTCAAGTTATTCCTCTACAGACTAGTTCATCTTTGAAGTCATATGGATTATTTATCACTTATTATACTGTTCAAATCTAACTTTACGTGACTAGAAATTTGTCAGGGCAATATTTAGTTTCAAACAATCTCTAGCCATGTAAAGTTAGATTAGAACAGTATAATAAATGATAAACAATAATCCACACTCCTTTTCACTGCTTGGTCCTGTGGTCCTATGCTGATGTTTAAAATGCATAATAGTGAGAATAATGATTAAGGGGAAAAAAAGGTAGAAGAAAATAGAATAAAAGGATAGGTCTGGGTTGAAGGAATCAACAGAGAAGGAGAAAATCATTCTACAATGCTTTTCTTTCAGGTGTTTGATGCACGAGACTGTACCACAGCCCACGGGATGTTTAACTACATTTGCAATCATGTCAAGTATGCAACAAATAAAGGGAACCTCAGGTGAGTTCAGAAGGGATGCTGAGCTAGAAAAACATAACATGTTTTGTTGTGGAATAGAAGGAAAACTGGACTTGAATCCAGAAATCTGGGTTTGAATTGTTACCCTGCCTCTGATGAACTGTGTTAGCTAAGCTTAATCTCTCTGAATCTCGGTTTTTTCGTCTGTAAAATGGAGATAACAATGCTGGTCCTCTGTCATGTACAAGGCTATTGTTAGGAAACTGCTTTGTAAACCTCAAAGCATTATAGAAACGTGAGTTGCTATGAAAAAGTTAAATGCCTCTCTATTTAGATGTCCCAAAGGCATGAAGCCATCATCTGGACTTGCCTTGGAGATGCTAACTGATTACAGAAGCATCTGATTAGACAATCTTTAGTTGGACTAAGTGGTTTCACTGTTCCTTTAATTCTACTCAGATCTCAGACCTGGCTGTGTCTGCTCAGCTGTCTGGGTGAATCCTTTTGATGGCAGGGTACTGTATAGAGTTATCATGGGGGTGATACCTAGGGTCTGGCCCTACTCCATGCAATATCATGGGCCAGAGCAGTGGCTAGATTATATAGGAGATATTCTTTGTACAGGACGTTAGAAGCCCTCTTGTCCAACCCCTACAATTTCTTCATCTATAAAATATCAACATTAAATTCTGGAGTAGATGCTGATGCTCAGATCCTAATTGCCATTTCTCCTATCTGCTGTCTCCCTCAGCTATGCCCCTGCATTCCACTTTTTGCCACCCCCACAATACTCCTATTCTTTTCTCAAAACTCAATCAGGCACACACTGGGTGATGTTACCATACTGCTGAACTAACACAGCCTCCTGGGTAGGGTAGTCCAAAGACTTTCCTCTGTGAATGAAGCTCTCTCAGCCTCAAGAATTGTGAAATCATGGGATCCCATCCACAGAGACTTCCCTTCCTATAAAATTTAGTTAGATTAAACCAAGGGTTTTTAACCTGGGGTACATGAATGTATTTTTTTTTCATTCAATTTTTATATGAAAGGATACAAAGTACAGAGAACATTTTTAAAAAACATTTTTGATAAATGTTTTTCTGGAGGCAGCTAGGTGGCACAGTGGATAGAGCACCAACCCTAGATTCAGGTAGGACCTGAGTTCAAATCCGACCTCAGACACATAACACTTACAAGCTGTGTGACCCTGGGCAAGTCACTTAACCCCCATTGCCCAACAAAAAAAGAAAAGTGATAATTTCTTTTCTTTTTTTGTTTGTTTGTTTGTTTGGAGTTTTTTTTTTTTTGGAGGCTCAGGATTGAGTAACTTATCTTGAGTCACACAGCTAGTAAGTGTCTGAGCCTGGGTTTGACAGGAAGGGGTGGACTTCCGACAGACTGGGAGTATACCGACCTTAGAGAGGAGAGTGCATGGATGGGAATATGAGCCAGGTAGCATTGAGCCTGCCCACTCCGCCATTTGTTGGCAGGTGCCACAGCTGGTGAGGATTACCCCACAGACCAGGGGAAGAAGTGATGATATCAGCTTGGGGCTACCCAAGGCTGTTTGCCAGGAGCCCTACTTAGCTCAAGCCATTAAATTGAGTTCTTGGCTTTATACAAAATAAGGCTGAGCACAGGTCTCTTTGAATCTGTCTGGAGACAAGAGAACAATGCTCATCCCTTGGCTGGGCCGGTTCAGAAGAAGAAGATCTGAACTCTAATCCCAGTGGGGAACCTGCTGTTTACGTTTCCATGCTTAACCCTCATTTCCACAGTGCCATAAGATTTCCCAAATGCTTTCCCCACAGCAACCCTGCGAGACAGGGCCAATATCATCCTTTCTATCTGGCAGATGGGTAACTCAGATTCCGAGAAGTCGTGAATTGCCCACAGTCACCCAGTTAGTGTCAGAACTGAACTGTCCTGGAACCGTAGATTTAGAACTCAAAGAGATCTTCATGGTCACAGGTTCACAGAATTTCAAAATTAGATGAGATCTCTCATTGTTGTTGCTGAGTCATTTCAGTTGTGGCTGACTTTTCGTAACTCCATTTGGGGTTTTCTTGGCAAAGATACTGGACTGCTTTGCCATTTTTTTCTTCAGCCCATTTTACAGATGAGGAAACTGAGGCAAACAGGGTTATGTGACTTGCCTAGGGCCACACAGCTAGAAAGTGTGTGCAGCTGGATTTGAACTCACAAAGATGAGTCTTCCTGACTCCTAGCCTGGTGTTCTGTGCACTATAGCACTACCATACACAAAAGGAATCCCAACTCAACAAGTGATAACCCAATTTCTAGGACAGCTAGGTATATTAGTGGATAATGCCCAGGCAACTTGTTAATAATACTCTACATTTCTGTTACACTCTTGGGTTTGTAAAATGCCACTATGTTTTCTGATCCTCTAATAATCCTGCTCTTAGCTTAAAGACTCTCTAGGACAAATTGCAAAATAAGGTGCTGACCTCTATTGGTGTAGGGAGTTTCCTCCTCTGGGAATTCCTTATACTGGAGTAATCAAAGGTCCAACCCCTCTCCCTATAACACAGGGCACAGTGCAAAGCATTTCAATAAGCATTTATTAATGTAGGAACTGTGCTTATTCCCCATTTTATAGATGAGGAAACTGAGGATGAAGCAGGTGACTTATCCAGAGTCACATAGCTAATAAGCATCAGAGGTTAGATTTGAATTCAGGTCTTCCTGCCTCCAAATCTTCCACTATGTGTACTACGCCAAGAAGCTGCCTTGAAGACTATAGAGGCAGTTGTCATTCTGCATCTGTGGAGGGAGTTTTCCACACCAGAAGCTACCCTACACTGATGAGAGCACAGTTCCAGGGTCCAAAAGGGGGGCTTGATTTTATATATGCACTTGAAGGATTATATTGTACTTTCATGAAAATAGCACTATTAGGCTGACAGTGCAAATATTAGTGCCCCCATTTTACAGATGAGGAAACAGAATCAGAGAGGTGAAAATGCATGTCACAGTCACACAGCTCAGAATACGGATTCAACTCTAGATCTTTTTAACTTCAAGCCCAGGGTTCTTCTTAATAAAGCTCTACAAGATTCTTTAATTTTTTTAAAAAAGTGACTGCAGAAGGCCACAGTGCCTTAAAGTGCTGCCACCTTTGTCTTGGGTAGTTCAAGAGGACTACAATGACAACAGCTGGCTTGCTAGCCCTGCTAAGCACTGATCTAGAAGTCATTGGCCCAAGTCACAGGGGAGATGGATTGCAGGTTTATAGATTTAAAACTGGAAAGCACCTTAGAAGTGATCTGGTACAACCCTCTCATTTTACAGATGAGGAAACTGAGGCCCAGGGAGGGGGAAGGATTTGTCCAGGGTCACACAGTTACTAAGTGGCAGAGCTAGTACGACTTTACACCTGTTGGCCAGGCTGCATCTCCCAAAGCCTGATCCTTGAACACAGACCCATCCTCACCTCTGGCACCCTCTTCCCCCCTTTTCAGGTCAGCTATCACCATATTTCCCCAGCGGACAGATGGCAAGCATGACTTCAGAGTCTGGAACTCACAGCTCATCAGATACGCAGGCTATAAGCAGCCTGATGGCAGCATCTTAGGAGACCCTGCCAATGTGGAGTTCACAGATGTGAGTACCTTTTGAACCCCCACCTATTTGGAATGCAGGTGGGCAGGCACATAGCAACCCCATCTATTCTCCATCTTTTTGTCTGGTTGGGATCGTAGACCCTCAACATCTTCAGCACCAAGGATCCCCAAGAGTGAAGGGGTGCCAAGACTCTACCACTTGCTCCTCATAGGGCCTTTGCCCCCTCCTCTTCCTTCCTGGTCCGTGGTGCCCAGGAGGCAGGTGGCACAGCTGAGTAACCCAAGCCTGGCCTTTTGTTACAGATCTGCATTCAGCAAGGCTGGAAGCCTCCAAGAGGGCGTTTCGATGTCCTGCCGCTCCTGCTCCAGGCGAATGGCAATGACCCAGAGCTATTCCAGATTCCTCCAGAGCTGGTTTTGGAAGTGCCCATCAGACATCCCAAGTGAGCTGGACCCGGGGAGAGGGGCAGCATTTAGAAATGCCCTGTCTGCCAACAGGGAGAGAGAGTACCCTTACCCAGCTACCCCTCCAGTCCCCACCTCCCGGGCCTCCTAATCCCTTTTCATGGATAGGCTGAAGGATTCCGGGACAGTGTCTCCAGCCTCAGGTACCAGAAGAGGGTGGAGCTTATTCCCAGAGGGTAATAATGCTAATGGACACATACAAAGCATTTTCCATCCTTGCCTCACTGGAGCCTGTCAACAACTCTAGGAAGTAGAATTGCAAGTATTATTATCTCTGAGACTCAGAAACATTAACATTTGGTCTAAATCAAGCCAATAAGTATTCACTACATGATGTGGGAACCAGCTCTTTCCTTAATTTTACCATACCTGTGCCCATACCTTCTGCTTTCTGTACCAATCCCACTCCCAAGCAAGTACTAATGGAAAAATGGAGGTGTCTATCCTCTTGTTGGGAATATGATAGATAGACAGACAGATAGATGATAGAGACAAAGGCAAATAGATAAATAAATAGATACAGAGACAAAGGCAGAGAAAGACATAGATAGATAGATAGATAGATAGATAGATAGATAGATAGATAGATAGATAGATAGATAGATAGATATGAAGAGGTCTAGAGGTTTGGGGTGCTGCTGGGAACCCCAAGATTACGATGCCGGTCCCTGCCTGAATTAATTCAACTCAAATCTTCTTCCAGCCAGAGGAAAAGTTTATTGTTACGCTTTTCAGCAGGCAAGGATTCTTAAGGATCCTGCAATCTTAAAGGGGTACAGTTAAAGTTTATATAGGATAAAATACAATAAAACATGTGCCATAATGCTAACTAGGTGACTCAGGGTGGGATTAGGGAGTGGTTAAGTAGTGGTCAGTTCTTAAAAGAACATGCGCTTCTTGTACCTACTGCGCAGGCGTTTTACCCAGAGTTCACTAGGAAAAGCCCACGATGGGGGACACATGGAGGTGTGGTTTTAGGCCTGCTATGTCATTAAGTTAACTAGAGTTCAGGGTAACTGAGAGTTGTCCAGTCTGCCACCAATCAATGTCTTGTTTGACAAGATAGATGTAGGGAGTACACATATGTCTTAAGTCTAGAATATAAATAATGAGGAGTCTAGGATGTAGATAATGAGGTAGGGCGGTAGTATAGATAGTCCAGTGGGTTAGAATGTCTTTATGACCCAGTGCAAAGCCAGTGCAAACTAATAATTCCCTCAAGTGCTGTTTGGAACTGCACCAGGGAAAGAGATAAGGGTCTTGCTGGGGCCCACTCATGAGTAATTGCTAGGCACGGTATCCTTGGGCTGGGGAGAAACTGTCAGGGTTAGTGTTTCTGAGGCTAGGGAGAAATTGGGGTCCAAGTACAAGCACCCGAACACAAGCACCCAAGCACCCCATCAGGTAGATAGACAGACAGACAAATGATAGAGACAGAGGTAGATAGATGAGTAGTTAGGTAGATAGATAGATGGAGAGACAGACAGACATAGACAGATAAACAGATGACAGAGACAAAAGCAAATAGATAAATGATAGATAGATAGCCAGACATAGATGATAAAGACAAAGGCAGATAGACAGATGATAGAGATAAAGGCTGATAGAGACAAAGGTAGGTAGATAGATAGATAGATAGATAGATAGATAGATAGATAGATAGATAAAAATTCTAATATCTTGGACAAGAGCATGGAGATGGCAGAGGAGAGCTCAGAGATCTCCTCAAGAAACACAACCCCATGAGGGGAGAGACCCTGAGATGTTACCTCATGGAGAGGAAATAGAGACCACTGGACATGCCAAGGCTGCTTTCCCCGTCCTGGTGAAGCTGCAATAAGAGGAAGGAGCAGAGCAGGACCCCATGACAAGGGAGCTCACACCTCTAATTCCCATTTCAGCCAACTTACAAAGTCAGCAGCACCAAATATGTTATGCTATAATCCATAGGAAGACCATCAAGGAAAAAAAGCATATCCATAGTAGGTTCATGAAAGGCTCATGATTGGACTTTTAGAATCCATAGAAGGGAATTAAAATACCCAGATCCCCTGAACATGATAGCTAATGGCTTGCCATCCTAGAAATATGCCCTTCTGGTAGAGATTTTTGCACCTAGTCCAAAGCTAAACGAAACTTTGAGTTTCCCCTCAGAGAGGCTGGGTGGCAGCTGACACCCTGAGGGATCCCTCCTCATACCCAACGGGTATCTTTGGCTCAATTGGCCCCCTGTGTTGCCATCCCCAGGTTCACATGGTTCAAGGAGCTGGGGCTGAAGTGGTATGGTCTGCCAGCCGTATCCAGCATGCTCCTGGAGATCGGAGGTCTTGAGTTCAGTGCTTGCCCATTCAGCGGCTGGTATATGGGCACCGAGATTGGAGTCCGTGATTACTGTGATAACTCGCGATACAACATTCTTGAGGTAATGTTCCCAGCTGGAGATGACAAGGGTGGGGAGTGAAGTCACCAGGATGGATCATCACACAAAGGATTCTGGGAGCTTAGAAGCTGAGACTGCTTATGGAGCAGTCTCTGGAGTCCCTGGAGATTTGGAACAGCCCTATAAACACCCCCCCCAAAAAAAAACAGCTTCTTTAGAGCAGCAGAAAGGGCACCTCCTGGGGTGCCTTCACCCCTAGCACATGTGACAATAACCCAAGAATTTGTTCCTCTTTCCATCTCCCTTCTGAAAAGTAGGAGAGCTTACCGCGGGTTCCTCTGCTACCAGCCTTTCTCAGCAGCGGGTCTGATTCCCTCCCTGGGAGACCAATCTGTTGGTTAGGGCAAAAGGAGAGTTACATCTTCAAGGCGAGCTTTGGTAGATGCATGGGGGATTGATCTGTTTCTATCTTCAAAAGCTGTTCTTCACCAAAGCCCCATTGTTAGCCATGTTTCACAAGAGGGAACAGATGAACAGAGAGGTCGAGTAATCTACTTCTGATCACACAGCAGACATGAGGCAGAACCAGAAGGAAAACTCAGAACTTTGGGTTGTTTGTGTTGATAAATGTCTACTGGTGTCGCTAGATAGAAACAGTCAATTCAGCTCAGTTCAACAAAAATTTTATTAAGTACCTATTATATACAAGACAGTCAGTCAGTTAGCATTTATTAAGTGCCTAGAGTGTTCCAGGCACGCTAAGAGCTAGGAACACACACACACACACACACACACACACACACACACACACACACACACACACACATAAAAGAGGTAAAGACAGTCCCTGCTGTCAAGGAGCCCACAATTTATTGGGGGAAACTAATATGTTCAAACAAGCTACATACAGGAATACGAACTAAACAGGAAAATATTTATATAGAGAAGAATAGGAAAATAAATAGGACATAATTAACAGAGAGAAGGTACTAGAATTAAGAGGAGCTAGGCGAGGCTTCTGTAAAAGGTAGGATTTTTGCTGGGACTGGAAGGAAGCCAGGGAAGCCTGTGAATGGAGTTGAGGAGAGAGAGCATTCCAGGAATAGGGGACAGCCAGAGGAAATGCCTGGAGGCAAAAGATGGCTTGTGTATGGAATAGCCAGGAGGCCAGTGTCACCAGCTCAAAAAGGGCATGTCAGGGAGTATGGGGCAAGAAGACTGGAAAGGTAGGAAGTGACGAGGTTATAAAGGGCTTTCAAAGCCAAACACAATTTTGTATTTGATCCTGGAGGCAATAGGGAGCAATTGGAGCTTATTAAATAGGGGAGTGACATGAGTAGACCTGTACTTTAGGAAAATCATTTTGATAGCTGAGTGAAGGTTGGAGCAGGGAGACAGCATGCCGTAGTACATAGAGGACCAATCTCAATAAGACCTAGGTTCCAGTCCCATTTCTGATTCATCCTGGCCTCATGACGCTGGGCAAATCACTTCACTTCTCAATGCCCCAGACAACTCTCAGGGTATAAGTTACAGAACAGTTGCTAATCTACTTTGGCAAAGAGAGTCAGAGCTGCAGATGAAATCACAGATCCAGACTTCCCCCAAAAAGTACAAGACATCATGGTCGACACTGAAGATACAAAGACAAAAGTGATGAGTCCGTCCCTCCCTTCAAAGAATCCACATCCTCCTGGAAGGACATAGCAGGGTATAGTGGCAAGAATGCTGGACGAATGCTACTGTAACACTGGATGAGCACCACTTTACCGAGCATAGTGATCGAGCACCTGGATTTAGATCTCAGCTCTGCCATGGAGTGCTTGTGTGACCTTAGCCAAGCCATTTAACCTCCTAGTGCCTCTGTTTTCTCTTCTGTAAAATTACTTGAGTTGGAATAGATGGTTGCTAGGGTCCCTTCCAGATCTACAGAGACATATGCAGATAACATGTATTCAAAATAAGTAATTACAAGATAATTTTAGGAGAGAAAAGAACACCAAATAGTAGGTGGGATCAGAGAAGTCTTTGAATCACAGGTGGCATCTGAGCAGTACCATAATGGAAACTAATGGGGTAGGGGACAGGCAGGAACCAGGGCTGCTCTGGCAGAGTCCGTATAGCAAGAGGGAAATCTCTGAGTAGATCTCAAGCACAAATCAATGGGCTGGTTTGTGTGCCTGATGGAGTATGGGGGCTGGTCAAGAAGGAATGCCAAATGAGAGTGTTTTCTTTTTTTTTAATTTTATTTTTTCCGGGGGCAGCTAGGTGGCGCACTGGATAGAGCGCCAGCCCTGAAATTAGGGGGACCTGAGCTCAAATCCGACCTCAGACCAAACACTTGACACTTACTAGCTGTGTGACTCTGGGCAAGTCACTTAACCCCAATCACCTAAAAATAAAAAATAAAAATAAAAATAATTTTATTTTTTCCAATTAACAAGCATTCTTTTTTTTTCTCCCTCTCACTTCTCTCACCTCATTCAACAATAAAAAGAAAAGAATCACTAGCATTTACCTAGCATTTTAACATTTGCAGAGAACTTTACAAATATTACTCCACTTGATCCTCACAACAACCCTTGGAAGTAAATTATTACCTTTATTTTACCCATGATAAAACTGAAACAGACAGGTTAAATGACTTGCCCAGGGTTAAAACAACCCTGGGAGCTAGGTGTTATTATTATCCCTATTTTACAGATGAGGAAATTGAGGCAAACAGAATTGAAATGACTTGCCCAGGGTCACACACAACTAGTAAGTATCCAAGGCTAGATTCCTGGCTCCAGGTTCAGCTCTCCATCCACTGTCCCACCTCATTGCCTCATAACAAATATGAATAATCAAGAAAAACAAACTCCACATGGGCCATGCCCAATATATGAGTGTGAGAGATAGATAGATAGACAGATAGATAGATAGACAGACAGATAGATAGATAGACAGACAGACAGACAGATAGATAGATAGATAGATAGATAGATAGATAGATAGATAGATAAGAGTTAAGGAATAGATAGATAGATAGATAGATAGATAGATAGATAGATAGATAGATAGATAGATATAGATAGATAGATAGATAAGAGTTAAGGAATAGATAGATAGATAGATAGATAGATAGATAGATAGATAGATAGATAGATAAGAGTTAAGGAATAGATAGATAGATAGATAGATAGATAGATAGATAGATAGATAGATAGATATAGATAGATAGATCATTCTGCCCCCTGCATCCTTATCCCCTCACTGTCAGGAGGTAGTTACCATACTTTACTCTCAGTCCTCTGGAATCATGATTAATTATTTCATTGATCAGGGTACTTAAGTCTTTTTTAAATTAAACTTTCTTTCAACTAACAGAAATTTGTTTTTTCTTCCTTCTGTCTCATTGAACAAAACAAAAACAAAACCCTCATAACAAATATGCCTCATTAACCAAACCAAATTCCCACATTGGCTATCTCCAAAAAAGCATGTGTCTTTCTGCATAGCTCATCCATCCTTTCTCTGTCATGAGATAGGTAGCCTGCTTCATCTGGAGTCATGGCGGACCATTGCATTGATCAGAATTCATAAGTCTTTTGAAGTCATTTTTTCTTTATTCTGTTGTCATTATGGTGTAATTCATCCTCCTAGTTCTGCTCTCTTGTGTTCTTGGGCTGTGGATTGTGCTGCAAGCTTTCTACCTCCAGTGGATAATTACTCTTTGGGGGTTTGTTTGCGTTTGGTTTTGTTTGTGGGTTTTTTTTTTTTTTGAGTTAGTAAGGACTGGAATAAATGTCTAGTCCACCATTTTCTTGGTCAAATGACCTGGAACCAAGCTGCCTTCCTTGCCCTAGCAGGGTAGAATGAATTGGCAAATTCACTTTATCCAGAATCCTCTTTACATTCTTGCTGCATACTATAATCATTTGCTAGCTTAAGTGAGACCTTATGCTTTGATTATACCTATCATTAGAAAAATATGGATAGACTTGCATGAAATGATGAAAAGTGAAATAAGCAGAACCAAGAAAATGTTGTATACAGTAACAACAATATTGTTTGAAGAATATTTGTGAACCCCCAAGTTATTCTGAGTATTATAAATACTCAAATCAATTACAAAGGACCCACAAAGAAAAATTCTATCCACCTCCAGAGAAAGAACCGATAAATAAAAGTATGCATGGTATGGTTTGACACATTTATAAATCCACGTCAAATGGTGGCCTTTTCTAGTGTAGAGTAGGGAGGGAGGGAGGAAAGGAAGGAAGGAGACAGGAACTTAAAGTGGAACAAAAAATTAGTTAATTCTTGACTGCGTTTGAGAGGCAAATCTTTCATACTCCAGAAATTCAAGGACATCTCTTTGTAGGAGAGGAACTAATTGAATCAATGTGATTCTATCCATCTTCTCCTTCTGCCTGATGCCCAAAGAAGGAGTCATCTCAGACTGTAGAACACTAAAGTTAAAGCTGGAAGGGACCCTTGAAAATCCCTTCCTCATTTCACAGATGAGAAAATGGAGGCTCACAAATGAAAGCCCAGAGAGATTCACAGATTCCAAACTGGAAAGGACCTTAGTGGCAGTCTTGCCCAAAACACTCATTTTCTAGATGAGGGAACTTCACCAGTGGATAGAAGGGAGATGTATTTTGCTCAAGGGTGCACAGGTAATAAGTGGCTGAGCTAGGATTTGATCCCAAGACCTCTAACACCAAATCCATTGTATTTTCCCTGTTATACCATACTGCTCCTTCCCTCAACCAGTCATTGAATGTACATTTCTATCTTCTTTCAGGAAGTGGCCAAAAAGATGAATTTGGACATGAGGAAAACTTCCTCCCTGTGGAAGGACCAAGCCTTGGTGGAGATCAACATTGCTGTGCTTTACAGTTTCCAGGTAACCAAGCGGGAGAGACCGAATAGACTTGGATCCTGGCTTTAGTACTCGAATGCTTCAGTCACACAAAGGCCCAGGCCCAGCTATGGCGTTTGAAGCAATTGTGTCAATGGTCCAGGGCCAATAGTGTGTGGTTTGTGACCCTTTTCCCCCAAGCCTATATAGGGTGAGGACCAAGTCAACCCCCACATAGGACTTTTTATTCTCTATTGCTAACATTTTCAGGACCAGCCTGGTGTAGATGATAGGGTCAGTCAACACATATTTGTTGATCTCCTACACTATGCCAGGCACTGTGACAAGCTTTGGAAGGGTAAGGACAAAAATGAAACAGTCCCTATCTTCCAGTAAACTTGCATCCTATTTAGGGAAAGCAATATATACAGTATATATGCAAAATGACTATGAGGTAGTATAGGGAGAGAGAGACCTGGCCTTAGGTGGGTTTAGGAAAAGCTTCATGTAAAACGTGATTCTTGGGTTGAGTCTTTTTTTAAGGCAATTGGGATTAAGTGACTTGCCCAGGGTCACAGCTAATAAGTGACAGGTATCTGAGGATGGATTTGAACTCAGGTCCTCCTGACTCCAGGGCCATTGAGTTGAGTCTTAAAGAAAAGTGGAGCTTCTAAGAAATCCCTTCAACTTATAGATTGTAGGATTCTGGAAATAAATCTAGTCTATTTCAAGTAGAGGAAAATTATTGAGTGGCATAAGTTGTGGACCCAGATCAGCCAATCCTACTGTTTTCTATGGCTAAGAGAGACTAGGACAGCCCACGGCCTTTAAAATGAAGTCACAGGTTGGGGAAAGGATTGTTTTTTCAGTACTGAAAGTCATAGGTGTATGTTCTTCCCTGCTCTTGGGAAATATTTCAAGGCAGTATGGTACTGTACAGGCAGCTAAATGACTCAGTGGAAAAAGCACTGGTCCTGGAGTCAGGGAGACCTGAGTTCAAATTTGTCCTCAGACACTTACAGCTATGTGATCTTGGGCACTTAACCTCTATTTGCCTTAATCTATTGGAGAAGGAAATGGCAAATCACTCCAGTATCTTTGCCAAAGAAAATCCTATGGACAGTATGGTCCATGGGGTCACAAAGAATTGGACACAACTGAACAACATAGTATTGTAGATGATATGCTTATCTCAGAGTCAGTGAGACCTGGGTCCAAACCCCACCTCAGACACTTGAATAGCTGTGTGAACCTCAGCAAGTCACTTAATTTTTCTCCATCTGTAAAATGAGGGGTTTGGATTCCATAGCCTTGAAGGGTCCTTCTAGCTCTATTTTTGTGATCTTATGATGATCCCCAGATCCACTCACATGTCACCTCCCCTCTTCCTCTTATAGAGTGACAAGTGACAATTGTTGACCACCACTCGGCTACTGAGTCCTTCATCAAGCACATGGAGAATGAGTACCGCTGCCGAGGGGGATGTCCAGCTGACTGGGTCTGGATCGTCCACCCATGTCCGGCAGCATCACACCTGTCTTCCACCAGGAGATGCTCAATTATCGGCTCACACCTTCCTTCGAGTACCAGGTCCTGCCCCTACCTCTGTTGTGTTATGTGGTTTGGCCTTCACTCTCGAAGAGGACCCTGACATCAGGAAGATGATACCATGACTTGCAAGTGAATTGAATTTAAGTGAGGGAGGGCTGTTCAAAGTCCCTAGCCTCACTTTCTCCTCCAGTACCATCTGGGTCCAGTGGCCAGATATCAATCAGGACAACTGGAGATGGCCCAGGATGTGAGATGACGTCATTCTTACCCTCATTTCCATCTCATCCCAGTTTTCAGTGCCTCCCAACTCTTGGCTTTTAATGATTTGGGATTCAGTTAGACAAAGTCAACTCACTAATGGGCAGTAGTGGCTTCCACTACTTCTTTCCTTTCTACTGACTGTCTCCCTCTTTTTTTCCAGCCGGATCCATGGAACACCCATGTCTGGAAAGGTACTAATGGGACCCCCACAAAAAGGAGAGCCATTGGCTTCAAGAAGTTGGCAGAGTAAGTAGCAAGTGCTCATGAAGCTGCAAATATGTGACTCCCTGTGAAAAGCTCTTGGACCCAAGGAATCTCATGGTTGGTCCTGCTGTTTGATATGGTGACCCCCTCCAAGCCACTGCCAACTCACTGTCATTCCCTCACTCCAGCTGAATACCCTATATTCCCAGTGCCTTGCAAAGCCATCATCTTTCTCCACCTACTCTCAAAGGAGCATGGGATCATATATTTAGAGCTGGGATGGATGGATGGATGAATGGATAGATAGATGGATGGTGGATGGATGGATGGATGGTGGATGGATGGATGGATGGATAGATAGATGGATGGTGGATGGATGGATGGATGGTGGATGGATGGATGGATGGATAGATAGATGGATGGTGGATGGATGGATGATAAAGCATTTATTAAGTGCTTACAACTTGCCAAACACGGACCTCAACTAACATTTGTTGGATGATGGAATATAAGCTCCATGAGGGCAGGAACTTCTTTTGTTTTTATCTCTTCATCCTCAGCACCCAGAAATTGTTGTTCAGTCATTTCAGTCATGCCTGATGCATCATGACCCCATTTGGAGTTTTCATGGCAAAGATACTGGCCATTTCCTTCTGCAGCTCATTTTACATATGAGGAAACTGAGGCAAACAGGGTTAAGTGGCTTACCCAGGGCCACACAAGCTAGTGAGTGTCTGAGGTCAGATCTGAACTCAGGTCTTCCTGATTCCAGGCCTAGTATTCTATCCATCACACTGTCTAGCTGCCCCTAGAAATTAGAAGGTACTTAATAATTGCTTGTCAGACTGTATGTCTCTGGTAGATGCTATATCCCCTTAGCTCTCCAAACCTTGCTCTCAGGAATCAATCAATAAGGATTAAATTCAGATGTTCCAGGGTGGTAAAGATATAAATTCAAAGAGAACTGAGCCATACAAATTGACATAGTAAATGCCCAACATGTTAACATTTATTGAGCACCTACCACTCACAAGACACTATAAGGATTGGGTTCTATAATGGACAATGAAAACCTGGAAAGTGTCCAGAGAAGGGTGATCAATACAGTGAAGGGCCTCAAGCCCATACCAAATGAAGGGCAGCTGAAGAAACTTGGGATGTTTAGGTTGGAGAAAAGTCGACCTGAGGGAAGATATGATTTGTTGTTTAGACATTTCAGTCCTGTCCAACTCTTCATGCCTTGTTTAGGGTTTTCTTAGCAAAGACACTGGAGTGGTTTGCCGTTTCCATCTCCAGATCATTTTACAGATGAGGAAACCAAGGCAGAGTGAAGCCTTGCCCAGGATCACACAGCTAGTAAGTGTCTGAAGCCAGATTTGAACTCAGGAAGATGAGTCTTTTAGGGGCAGCTAGGTGGCCCAGGGGATAGAGCACAGGGCCTAGAATCAGTAAAACCTGAGTTCGCATCAAGACTCAGACACTAGCTAATTGAGTGGCTCTGGGCAAGTCACTTAACATCTCAGCCTCAGTTTCCTATTATGTAAAGCTGGGTTCATAATAGCATCTTCCCTACAGGATGTTGTGAGGATAAAATGAGATAATGTTTATAAAGCAATTTGCAAACCTCAAAGCACTCTATGGATGCTAGCTATTATGACCGCTGAACTCTTCAAATTATAAGATTCTGGAATTAGAACCTAAGACTCTGGCTTCATTAACATGAAATTCCTACCTCTGATACATAATACCTGCATGACCTTGAGCAAATGGCTTAACATGCTGGATCTCAATTTCCTCAGTCGTAGGATAAGTGGATTAAATTAGACAGCCTCTGGGCTGTCTACTCAGACCTAGTGAACTAAGAAATATGCTCAATGGGCCCGTTGGCTCTAAATCTCTCAAAGCCCACTGGGGCCATGAACCCAAGAAACTGATTTCCCCTCATGCCCACTGCATGGCTACAAGTCCCATTCCCCACTGATGAGTCTTCTAAGAGCAGAAGGGAGGCCCTATCTCTCCCTACCACCCACGCACTGCTAAGAAGAAAACATTAGCAGTGATTCTTCCCCTAACCAAGGCATCATAAATCGCCCCCATCAGAAACTGTTGTACAGGTTTCGACTGGAGTTTAGTTGAGTGTCTCTGGGGAGGGAGAGTTCTAAAATGTTAATTGCACTATTGAGTTTGGAGTAGAAACAATGGAAGTTAATTATAGATACTTTTTTTTTGCTGGGATCATTCAAAAGGGGGCCCTGGAAAGCTGTAACCTCCCAGGCAACACTCCTTCCTTTCTTTTCTCCAACCCATAGTTTTAATTGTTACTAGAGTGTAGGCGGTTTCCATGATTTAAAAAAATAATAAATTTACCATTAATAATTCCCCCAGGGAGGGAATTAATGGCATTTTGCCTGCTCTTGGATTGGTGGCTTAGCATAAGGTTGTTTTTCAGGTTGCAAGCGTGGATTCTTGGAAATGTGCATTGCAGACCCTGTGACTGCCCTCCCTCCTGTAGTAAAGAGCTCTGGGAGCCAGGGAGTCAGAACACCTGGTTTTCAGTCCTGGTTCTGTCACTGGCTAACTGAGTGATTTGACACAAGTCATTTCCCCCCTCTTGGCCTCAGTTTCTCCACCTGTCCAATGAGAGGATTGGAATGGATTATTTCTAAGGTTCCTTCATGGTCCCTCCTAGTTCCAACATTCTGAGGTCAAAGCTCTCTGGAAGCTCTGACATTCTCTGTTCTAAGGTCTCCTCCCAGCTCAGACATTCTGAACTCCAAGATACCTCTCAGCTCAGACATTTGGTATTTTTTCAACCTCGACAATTTATACACCAAACCTTTCTGACATTGTGTTTTAAGGGCCCTTCTAGCACTAACATCTATATTCTAAAGCCCTGGTCACTCTCCTGCATTGTGTTCTAAGCTTACATTTAGCTCTGACATTCTATAATTTTAGCCTGCTCAGACACAATCCTTTCTCCCTCTTCAGATACCAGGACTATGGCAATGTTCAAACTTGCCAAACCCTCTGCCAGGCCTGGCATCTTCTCTCATCCTTCAGGGCCCCTTTATTTACCAAGTGTCCTTTAAGGGTAGGAAGCTAGAATCTTAGAGAAATATCCCCAAGGTCCCAAAACCTCAGGAAGCTGCAGATGGAGGAAAGCCAACCTCTGCCCAGGCACTCAATGAGCTGCCAAAGTTCCCAACCACTGGAGTTGGTTCCCTGAGAAAGCATGGAGGAATCCAGATATTCTTGGAAGCTCATTCTATGCTCAGTGACAGCCACTGGCTTTTGAGATGAGAGCATTGGCTACCATGCAAGACTGTCTCTGACAACCACATTTCAACCTTAATTTTCCATGTATTTATGGCCAACTTCCCAATAATAACTGCCATTTTCAAGGGCAGGGATCTTTTCTTTTGTACCTTTGTATGAGAATCCCAGAGCTGGAGAAGCCCTTAGAAGCTTTCTGCTCCAACCCATATCTCAACAAAAATCCTGTCTCTAACATCCCAAATGAGGGGTCATTCAGAAATACTGAAAGACCTTCAGTAAAAGGGAAATCATTCTTTCCATGTCCAGTTCATGATTCATTTGGACAGCTCTCATTGGTAGGAAGCAGTTCCTGACATCAAGCCTAAATCTATCTCTCTGTAATTCTCCCCATTGTAAGACTAATCCCTCCACCACATGCCATCCCTTCAAATACCTGAAGACAGCTATCAAATACCCCCATAGTCTTCTCTCCAGGCTAACCATCCCCAGTGTCTCCAGCCAATCCTCATCTAGCACAACTTGGAAGCCCTTCACCATCTCGGATGTCCTCCTTGGCGCTCAGCTTATCAGTGTCTGGCCTAAAGGTGGTCCCATAATGCCTCGAACATAATTGGTGATTAGTAAGTGTGGTTCCATAGTGATTTCCCTTCAGAGGCAGTGCTCCACAAGAAGGTAAGCTTCCTGAAGGCAAGAATTCTTTCATTTTCAACTTTGCGTCTCAGTGCCTGGCATGATGAATGTACATAATGAATGCTTGTTGGATTTCATTGAAGCAATTCTAGAATTAAATTGAATTGTGGACTTGGTGTCCAAAAGATGTGGGTCCAAATCTCATTCAGACACTATCTCAGGGGCAGCTAGATGGCTCAGTGGATAGAGCACCAGCCCTGAAGTCAGGAAGACCTGAGTTCAAATCTGGCCTCAGACTAAACACTTGACACTTACCAGCTGTGTGACCCTGGGCAAGTCACTTAACCCCAATTGCCTAAAAAAGAAAAAAAAACAGACACTATCTCAGTAAGTAACCTTGGCCAAGTCATCTTGGCAATCTTAGCACATCATTGTCACTTTTCTGGGCCTCCATATTACTATTTGTAAAATGAAGGTTGGACTCCAATGCCCTGAAGGTCCATTCTAGTGCTAAATCTATGATTCCGTAAATTTTATTAGATAGTTAAGGGACCCAAAGCTAGTATCTATTAATCAGCTGTGGGGAATCTCTTTTTTTCTCCTATGACAATCCTTCTTGTATCGTATTACCCATACACAACTATTTGTTGAGCAACTATTGTATACTTGCCCTCTGATAAGCAAAGTAGAGGATACTAGAGAATGCTGAGGGAATAAGCATTTATATAGCCCCTACTAGGCTAAGTGCTTTACCAACATTATTTCATTTGAGCCTCACAACAACCCTGCCAGGTAGGTGCTATTATTATCTTCATTTTACAGTTGAGGAAATTGAGGCAGACAGAGGTTAAATGACCTACAGCTGAGCCTGGATTTGAGCTCAAGTCTTCTCGACTTCAGGCTAAGCACTCTATCCACTTCACCACCAAACTGCCAACGTACCTGCCTTCAAGCTTATAACAAAGCTTTGAAGACAAATTAATTCAAGAAATATTATTTAGGTGTCTACTCTATGCCAGTTACTGTGCCAGGCACCAATGATACGAGACAGATATGGAAGCTTTCCTGCCCACTGGGAGCTTACATTCCACCGGAAGACAAGATTTAGACACGTGAAATGGGACACAATGGCCATGTTCAATTTCATGACCAAAGACCATTGGCTGAAAGTGCTCTTAACCTAATCTTCTTCCCCCTCTCTTCTCCCAGAGCTGTCAAGTTCTCAGCTAAACTGATGGGGCAGGCCATGGCAAAAAGAGTCAAAGCCACCATCCTCTATGCCACTGAGACAGGCAAATCCCAGGCCTATGCAAAAACCTTATGTGAAATCTTCAAACATGCCTTCGATGCCAAGGTGAGTGTGACCCAGCACCTCCTGCCAAGCTCTGGGTAACAGGACAGGTTCCCTAACTGCAAAGATACCCCTCTTGGTTCTGGTCCGATCTAGCCTTGTGGTTCAGATTTGTGATTGGAAAAGAATGAGACTCTCAAAGGCCACTTAACAGCTAACAAAAAGGAGTAGTATGCAAGAGATAGTCAGCAAAATGTAGTCAATCAATCAACATTTATTAAATGCCTACGATGAGCCAAGCACTGTGCTAAGCATGAGGAAACAAAAAGAGGCAAAAGACGAGTCCCTGTCCTCAAGGAGCTCAGCATTTACAGCACTGATGATGGGCACAGCTGTCCTGCCCCCATATTTGTCCTGGTGCTGCAGGTGAAAGCACGTTTCAGGTCTGAGGAAGGAGACCCTGACTCCTCAGGATCAGACTTTTGTGCTCAGACAATTGGGAAGGCATGTCAGTGGTTCAAGTCTTAATCCCTCAGATCAAAGAAGCCTCAAACATGATTTCAATAGCTTTTTAGGCAAAACTAGACTAGCCTGGCTAGGGGTAGCTTTTGTTCCTACAATAGGCAGCCACCCGGGTGGTGCAGTGGATAGAGAGCTGTGCCTGGAGTCAAGGAAGACCTGAGTTCAGATACAGCCTCAGACGCTAGCCACATGACACTAGACAAGTCATTTCACCTCTGCCTGCCTCAGTTTCCTCACCTATAAAATGGGGGTGATAATAATAGCACCTACTTCACAGAGTTGTCACAAGGATCAAATGATAAAACATAGATAAAGTGCTATAAAAAACACCAGCTATGATCACTACTGTTAGATTACTCCTCTAAAAGTACTAAGGATGAATAAAGGGCCTGGGGAACCACCAAGATACACCACAATGAATAGCATTCTGGACTTGCAGTCGGGAACCGGCCCCAGGTTCAAATGTCATCTCTGACACTTATTAGTTATAGGGGCAAATCACTCTATAAGTCTCAATGTCCTCGACTGCTGTAATAAATAGAGATAAGAATATTTATCATCCTTACCTCAGAGTATTGTGAGGCTCAAATGAGACATTGTTTCTAAAGCGCTTTGCAAACTGTGAGATCAGTTACTATATAATAAGAAGAAGAATAGTATTTATGGAGCACCTACTGTATACCAGACACTGTGTTATGCACTTTAGAAATATCTCATTTGATCCTCACAATGACCTAAGGTAAGTGCTATTATCCCCATTTTACAGATGAGGAAGCTGAGGCAAACAGAAATTGTGACTTGCCTAGGATCCCAAATAGGAAATAGCTGAAGCTGATTTTGAATTCAGGTCTTCCTCACTCTACGCCCAGCACTCTATCTACTCCACCACCTAGCAGGCTCATATATTTAACAGCATTTAGTGGACTTCTTCATCTCATTCACATGAGACAATATCTATAAAGAGCTTAGCATAGTGCCTGGAACATAGTAGGCACTTAATAAATGCTTATTCCCTTCTCCCTTAATTCTTTTGCTGCTCTTATTGGACCAACCCATGATTTTATTGGCAGACAGAACTCTCAGTTAGGAAATTCTCCCCACCAATGCATACTTTAGGAAGCTTATAGAGCTGTCTAGGATACTACAAAGCTATGTGACTTGCTCAGTCAAATAACCCAGTCAGAAGAAGGACTTGAACCCAGTTCTTCCTGGCTTCAAGGAAGGAAAGAATTATATTTATACAAATATAATCTCATTTGATCCTCACAACAACACTGGGGAGGTAGGTGCTGTTATTATCCCCATTTTATGGATAAAGAAACTGAGGCATGGAGCTGTTAAGTGACTTGTCCAAGGTCACATAGCTAGGAAACATCTAAAGCAAGATTCAAGCTTGGACCTTCCTGACTCCAAATCCCACTTTATCCATTGTGCTTCCTTGAAGTTGTTCTTCCTGCATTCTCGAAGGACTTATTGTAATGACCTGTTATAGAAACAGTATGTAGCCCTGATTTTTAGCTGCTAAAATTGACATTGCCTCTCAGTATCGTACTTATCAGTGTAAATATTTCTCCCTCTTCCAGTATCGTGGAAGCTTCTGGATGGCAGAGATTGCATCATTTTGATCTCTGTGTCCCTAACCCCTATATACTATTTTGTACTTCGGAGGGATGAATCATTGCTTCCCGAGGTCAGGTGGTCAGCTTTCAGTTTCAATAACCAATCACTGGGGCAACTAGGTGGCGCGGTGGATAGAGCACCAGCCCTGGAGTCAGGAGGACCTGAATTCAAATCCAGCCTCAAACACATGACGTGTACTAGCTGTGTGACCCTGGATGAGTCACTTAACCCCAACAGCCTCACCAAAAAGCAAAAACAAACAGAAAAACAACCAATCACCTAAAAGTGAGATCTGCTGGCCTATGATCCATGGGCCTGGCTTCTCCCATGCTGCAGAGACAAGGGCACCTGGCAAACATCTTCCTCCCTCTCTCTTCTGTCCTCCTCTATCCTTTCCTTTCTTATTCTTACTGTCTCCATCTCCCACTGCTCCTCTCTTTCTTCTTTTATAGGTCATGTCCATGGAAGAATATGATATTGTACACCTAGAACATGAGACACTGGTCTTGGTGGTAACTAGCACCTTTGGCAATGGAGACCCTCCAGAGAATGGCGAGGTAGGTTGAGCACCCATCACCCATCCAAGAGTGTGTAGCCAGTGTTGGGGAAAGAGTGAAGGAGAAGTGCTCCCAGACCATTCCACCCCGGATCCTACCAGAGCCTCAGAAAGCCATCGCCATCACCATCAGCCATCACCACACACTGATGGGCTGATTCAGACTCCTCCACCTGGCCAGTCCTCACTGATACCCTTACAATCTGTAATTTGTCTTCATTCATTTACTTGCTTCATTCACTGGTGTTTGTATCCATCCATTTATTTATTTAACAAGCACTTGTTAAGTGTTCCCTGTGTGCCAGGCATGGGCTAGGCTCTTTAGGCACAAAGACAAAAGTGAACCAGCCCCTCAAGGAGCTTATAGTCAACTGTGGGGAAGCAATATGAACTCGGATAAGCAAGCACAGAATTTCTTCTGCGTACAAGTTGTACCCTCCCCCCCCACACTTCTTCAGTTTAATTTACATTGTCAATACTTTCTCCATCACTTTCTTAAGTCTAAATCATCAATAAAACAATAAATCAAAACTTAATGTGTAGCATTTGCTACGTGGCACAGTGGGCAGATCATTGGGCATGGAGTCAGGAAGATTCATCTTCCAGGGTTCAAATATGACCTCAGACACTTACTAGCTGTGTGACCCTGAGCAAGTCATTTAACCCTGTCTGCTTCAGTTTCCTCATCTGTAAAATGAGCTGGAGAAGGAAATGGCAAACCACTCTACTATCTTTACCAAGAAAACCCCAAATGGGGTCAAAAAGAATCAGACATGACTGAAAAATGACTAAACAATGACAAAATGCTCACAGTGGAAATTTAACACTCAGCTCTCCAAGTTGGCTCCAGCACACTCCTGGATGTAAGCTCCTTAAAGGCAGAGCATTTTTTTCAAGTTTGATTTTGTATCCCCAATGCCTAGCATCAGCCTTTGCATCCAGCAAGTGCTTAATAAAGATGTGAATTGAGTTACAGAAAGGCCTTTTGGTAAAGGGTTACATCCCCTGAGTTAGCAGAAGTAAGGTCACAGAGGGTGTAGTGGAGAGAGCTCTAGACTGGAAGGTAGTCAACACTCAGGTTCAAATCCTACCTGTGGACTTACTAGCTTTATGACTCTGGGCAAATCTGGTTCCTCATCTGTAAAATGGGCACAAAAATATCTCAGCCCCTACTTCCCAGGGTTATGATGAGGTTCAAGTGATATAAGAGGACCATAGACTTAGAGCTAGACAGACCCTCAGAGGTGGTTTAGCCCAATCTCCTTATTTTACAAATGAAGAAACTGAGACCCATTGAGGATATATGTTTTCAGTTGTTTCTGTCGGGTTCAACTCTTTATGATCCCATTTGGGGGTTTTCTTGGCAAAGTTACTGGAGTGGTACTCCAGCTCATTTTACAGATGAGGAAACTGAGGCAAACAGCGTTAAGTGAGTTTGCCCAGGGTCAAACAGCTAGTAAGTGTCTGAGGCCAGATTTTAATTTATCTGTTCCAAGCTCAGTGCTCTATGCACGATGGCGCCACCTAGCCGCCCTACTACTCTATTACCACTACCGTTATTGTTAGTGGATAAATGTTGCCCCTCAGCTGGCAGCCATCTCTGAGCCACACCATAGCCAAATGGATGCTCAGATGGATGCCTGTCTACACCTGGCTCTGAGGACCCAGCTCCCAGGAAGCCACAAAGTCTGTCGTTTCATAGCTGAAATCTGCCTGCCTGGATTATATGGCATCCATGCCTGACCTTGGGCTGGATTCCATGGTGTCCCAGCTAACCTTTCTCTTGTCTGTCTTGCTCTCCAGAAATTTGGCTGTGCTTTGATGGAGATGAGGCACCCCAACTCCATGCAGGAGGAAAGGAAGTAAGTGGATTACATCTTCACTTCTCTCCCATCCCACCGAGAACCTGGTCCTGACCCTGGGTACCCGACCATTATGTGGCTGGTCCCTGGGGTTGAGTTGTGGGCTCCAAGTGGAGAATGGGACCCCAAGTCATGGAAAGAATTCCACTGACTAAAACTGATGGATGTCTATAGCCCATGAAAGTTAACATCACGTGCTTCTAAACCTGAAATTTAAACAAGTTGCTTAATAATAATGACTTCACATTTATATAGCACCTTAAGGTTTGCAAGATCATTATTATCCTCATTTTACAGATAAAAAAAAACTGAAACTGAAAGGGCTTAAGTGATTTGTCCATATTCATACAGTTAGTAGGTGTCTAAGGTGGGATTCATACCTAAGTCTTCTTGACTCCAAGTCTGGTGTTCTAGCACCTAACTGCCTCGGTTTCCTGATTTGTCAAACAAAAATAATAATCCTTGTGCTTCCTATGATATAGAGCTAATGTGAGGGGTCTGATGAAAAAATAAATTCAAAGGTGATTAGAATATTTTAAATCATTATAGCGATTTCAGGTATCTTTATTGGTACTTTTTTCCCCTTTTGAATATATATTCAAATTAAGAGGAGTCAAATGAGATTCTTTTCCTTCTCTTATCCCCAAGGGGCTGTTTCCTAAACTTATTTTTTCAGTAGGTTGGGACAGTTTTACCTTGTACCTGAATCTGGGGTGATGGTCTTTCACTCTTTGGGAAACGCAAGCTGGTCTCCCTCCTGGCACCCAATCCCTTGCTTTGGCATCCAAGCCCTGGGGAGCAGGCAATGGGCGCAGACTTAGAGATTAAATGACTGTGTGACCATGGAGCAGTCATTTCATTCTCTGAGCCCCAGTTTCTTCATCTCTCAAATGAGAAGATAATTCATGCCTCACCCACATCATTCAACCTGTAGATTTATATCTGCAAAGGACCTCAGAGGCTACACAGCCTAGCCCCCTCATTTTACAGATGAAAGTGAAAGGATTTGCCCAAAGACACACAGGTAGTAAGTAGCCAGGGCAGGATTCTAACCCAAGTCCTCTGACTACGCAAGGGCATTGTAAGGAATGTATCTTGCAAACGTGAGTGCTATAGAAATGTGAATGGTAGCCATTTATTATGTACTTCCTGTCTTTCCTGGAAGCTGCCTTCTCCCACGTAGGGAAGGCTTTGCCCAGACTGCTGATCTCATGACGGGTTCCCCCTGACCACCCTCTCCAGGGAGAGATGGGGCTCTATTGGTTCTCCTCTCTAGGTCCCAGGAACCCTTGCGTTTCTTTCCCCGTAAAGGGCCACCGCCTCTCTCTGACCAAACAGAAGTGTGTAACCTGGCTGCTGTCCGGGACAGTCAGAACAGGTAGACTGTGTGTCTGCTGAGCTCCCAAGCTAACTACCAAAGCTATGGCTCCCCTTTGGTCCTTCCACACTCTGTATGATCTCATGGGAAGAGTGCAGAGCTGGGATTGGGCCACCAACTTGCTGTGTGACCTTGAGCCACTTGCTTAACCAATCTGAGCCTCAGTCTTATCCATCAGATGGGGAAGATCACGCCTGCCTTTGCCTACCTCCTGAGGTTGCTATGAAGATGGGATGAGATCATGGCTCGAGAAGCATGGGGGAGAGGGAGGGGAGTTTTAAAATGTTATAAAAATCCAGGGAATTATTTTTATTCCCATGGCCAGCTGCCCTGCGCTAACAATGCGGCTACCTCTCTGATCGGCTTGCATGAAAGCGGCGGCCTGTTTGGTGATGTGACTCAATTTGAGGCATCTATTTCGGGACAATAAATACACATCCATATATTTAGCACTTTCCTGATGCTAGAGAGAAAACTTTGAAGGCCACCCAATTCAGAAATGCTGCTGCCAGGGTGTACAAGCTTCCGGTTTTGCTCTCAGGATTGTTTGTCTTTCCATTTCCATTTTTGTTTGTTTGTTTGTTTGTTTGTTTGTTTGGGGGTTGTTGGTTTGGGTCTGGGTTGGAGGTTTTGTCTTTGTCTGAGGACAGAAGTCATCACTTCTTAAGGGGAAATTTGACTTTGGTTAGGTCATGAGTTCCCTACTGATGGCTGAGATCACAAGGGTGCTGGGTGGCTCTCCTGCTAACCTTGGGGGGAAAAAAAACAACTCTCCTCCCATTGGCTGCAGTGAGAGAGTCATGAGGCCCCGAAATTAGAAAGCGTTAGTCCCCCAGCAGCTCTGTGCTCAGGTCAGACCACATTTGAAACATTGTGTTCAGCTCTGGGTAATCAGCTCATAGAGGGAGGGCTGGCATGGATATCCTGAGTCATCTCATACCCCCCCCTTCATTTTACAAATGAGGAAACTGAGGCCCAGAGGGGTTAAGTGACTTTCTCATGGTCACACAAGTAGTAAGAGGGAGAGTGAATGATAAACTGGGGGATGTCTGAAAGAAGCCAATCCAAATGGGGAGGGATCTCAAGTTCATGGCATATGAAAATTGAATGAAAGAATCAGGGATGTTTTGCCTGGAAAAGAGAAGCCTCAGGAGAGACATGACATCTGTCTTCTAGTGTTTGAAGGGCTGTTGAGTTAAGGAGTCTGCCTGTCAACCCCCTCTCCCCCTCACTCCTGTGCCCCAAGTCTCCAGGAAGACTCAGCAGGGAAATATCCTACCTTAGTTTAAATCTTGCCTCAGGTACTTACTGGCTGTGTGACCCTGGGCAATACTACACCTCTCTGGGCTTTGCTTCCCTCATGTGTAAAATGACAGAGATGTACTCAATGGGCTCTCAGGTTTCCTTCCAACTCTGAGTCTAGGGCCTATGATTTAGGGACGTTGATATATCAGGGGTGATGGTAGGGTTCATGGCCAACTAAGTCCATGGCAGAATGCACTGTAAGTGGGGCTGTCCATTGGAAAGCATTCAGAGGAAAGATATTCCACTGAGAGAATAGTATCAGCTTCCCTGGGAAGAAAAGAAGCCCGGATTGGGCAGGTAGGGGAACCCAACAAACCGAGCTAACAAGCCTCCCAGAGAGATTCTTGGGCTATGCCAACAGCCACTGGAAGGCCAGCAAGAAGCTACTCCCTCCTTCCCTTTGCCCCAGCGGGCAGCTGTGCAGGGAGCCTGATGAAGAGCCAGTGACAGTGCTGTTACCTTCTGCCAAACTGGCTCCAGGCCTGCCCTGGGGGCCCCTGCAGGTGCTGGACTCAGCCTCACAGATGCCAAATCTGTTCTCTCCATTAGCTTCCCCCCTACTCAGCTGCATCTTCTCCTCCTCCTCCCCACAGCCCCCACCAAAAGTCAGTGTGTACTCAAAGGGATGCAAACTTATGTTAATATTAGTGTAAATAAAATGTAATTAGGATGGTAATGCTGTAAAAAAAAATTAATCACATGATAAACTCCAAAGTCAAATGTAATTTTTTAAAAAATGATCTGCCATTCTGGATTATCTGGGCCCTCTCTTCTCCATCTTTTCTCTATTATCCATTCCTTTCTCTTCTCCATCTCACCTCTATTCTTCATCTTTCCTCTCTTTTCCATCTCTTCATTCCATCTGTCCTCTCCTCTCATCTCCATCCCTCCTTCTTTTCCATCTTTCCCTTCCCCTACATTTCTCTTCTCTTCATCTCCCCTCTACTTTGCATCTCTTCTCTCCTCCCTCTCTCTTCCCTCTTCTCCATCTCACCTCTCCTTTCCAACTTCTCTCTATCTTTTCTTTCTTCTCTCCATCCTTCTTTTCCATCTTTCCTTTCCCCTTCATTCCCCTTCTCTTTTCCATCTCTTCTATCCATCTATTCTTTATTCCCTCCCTTTTCTCATTTTCCATCTCTCCTCTCCCCTCTCCTTCTGTCTCTCCTCTTTTCTCTTTTCTCCATCTCCAACCTCTACTCCTTTCCAATTCTATCATATGACATGTCCTCTCACCTCCTTCCCTCTCTGCCCTTGCTTTCTCTCCCTCTGGTGGATAGTTGACGGTCGCCTATTACAATGTGGGTAAAGACTAAGGCGGGCTGGACACAAAAGGGAGTGTTGCCTATGAACAGTGAAAAAGCAGGTCTGGGAAGTGTAATCAGATATCAGAGCAGGCTTGAGGCAAAAAAAGATCAAAGGTTCCCAGGGGCCTGGAGACTGGGTGAAACTTGAACTTGCTCCCAGCACTCACTTGTCCCCATTGCTTTCTGCAGGAGTTACAAGGTCCGTTTCAATAGCGTCTCCTCATACTCTGATGCCCGGAAATCTTCAAGCGATGGGCCTGACATGAGAGACAACTTTGAAAGCGCCGGGCCCCTGGCCAATGTGAGGTAAGCCTGGGGCACTGGGGGCTTTGGGGGAGCTGAGAACCATGGACAGCAACTAAAACAATGAGTCCAAGTTTGTGGAGATTTCGGGGCTCCTTCCACTGCCACGTCCTTGCTTTTCAGTTCCTCCCCAAAACATCCAGCATGCTCATGCCTAGGGGTCTATGGAAGCCCTCTACCTAGGTTCGCCCTCCTAGCTGACCACGAGGGGTAATGTCTTCTCATAGGAGCCAGCTGCTCCTTAGTGATAGGCCTCTTCACACATCTGCTTTCTTTAGTTTATTGTGGATTTGTTCGCATCATTTAGTCGTGTCTGACTCTGTGTGACCCCCTTTGGGGTTTTCTTAGCAGAGATACTAGAGCGGTTTGCTATTTCCTTTTTCCAGCTCATTTTACAGATGAGGAAAGTGACTTGCTCAGGGTCACGTGGCTAGTCAGTGTCTGAAGCTGGATTTAAACTCGGGAAGATGAGTTTTCCTGATTCCAAGCCCATTGCACCACCTAGCTGCTAGGGGACCACTTATGGCTGGGGCATGGAGGAAAGCTTCATGGGAGAGACGGTACCTGGGGTGGGCCCCAAAGGCTTCTAAAAGGCATACTGTCCCCTCCCTAGTCCTTAGATCTTAATCTGAAAGACTAAGCATTACTGAAGCCCTCAACCTCAGTTTCCACATCTGTAAATGGTGGTGGGAGGGGAGAAGCAACACTCTCCACATTACATGCCTTCCATGATTGTTGTAAGCGTCAAAAAGAAAATGCATTTAAAGCACTTTGTAATAAAAGCAAGACGTACATAATAGAAATTCATCATTTCATTTACAATTTCCTTTTTCTGTTCTGCTTCATAGAGGGAAATACTCATTTCATTTGATGTTTGGGCTCAAATTTTTTTTTAAAAATTAAAGCACTTTGTAAAACACTATGGAAAAGTGAGCTATGGTTGGTGTTTGTGAATGGCTTCCCAAACAACGTCCCCCTAATCACTGACTTCTCCTATCCTGATCCTTAATATGCCAGGTACGACGTTAGGAGCTGGGAAAACAGGGACACAAAAGGAATCTCCTTGTAACTTTGTCTTGTCCTGCTGGCAGATTCTCAGTGTTTGGCCTTGGATCGAGGGCATACCCCCACTTCTGTGCCTTTGGCCATGCAGTGGACACCCTCCTAGAAGAACTTGGAGGGGAACGCATCCTAAAGATGAGGGAAGGGGATGAACTCTGTGGTCAGGAAGAAGCCTTCAGAACCTGGGCCAAGAAGGTCTTCAAGGTAACTGGTTTCCTTGCCTTGGGAAGGGGACTTTGGAAGAATTTGGATCAAGAGCAGTTCTAATATAGTCCACCATCATCTAAGAGATCCATGGATAGATTTCAGGGGAGGTGGGTTTGTGAATTTGGGTGGGAAGGGGTATTAAGATTTTGATAACTATCTTGATTTAAGTGGTTTCCCTTGTACCCCAATGTATTTTATTTTATACATTTAAAAACATGATTCTGAGAAGGAGGCTATAGGCTTCACCAGATTGCCAGACACCAGAATTATACAAAAATGGTTCAGAATTCCTGGTTTAGAAGAATGTCTAACCCATATCAATCCTTGTTGTTGTTACACCTACTATGTGCCAGGCATTGTACTAAACACTTTTATAAATGGTATCTCATTTGATTCTCACAAAAATCCTGCAGATCAGGTACTGTAAGCGTCCCCATTTTACAAGTAAGGAAACTGAGGCAGAAGTTAAGTGACCTCTCCAGGTTCCCACAGCTAGTAAATGTCTGAATCTGGATTTGAACTCAGGCCTTCCTGACTCCAGATCCAGTGCCCTGCACACTGCATCACCAGCTGCCAGTGACTTCCTCCTTTATAATCCAGGTGTTTTTCCATATGGAATCACAGAATTTTAGAGCTAGATAAGTCCAACCCCTTTGCTCTATTTCTTTTAATTTTCTTTGTAACTGTGAATTTAACTTCCACCAAACACCAACCTTACAGTCCACAAAGGAGAGGAGGGGAAAGAGGATTGTATAAGAAACTGCAGGCTTCTGAGGTGCACATTCTGGCTTTCTTGGACATATATCTATACGTGTGTGTGTGTGTGTGTGTGTGTGTGTGTGTGTGTGTGTGTGTGTGAGAGAGAGAGAGAGAGAGAGAGAGAGAGAGAGAGAGAGACAGAGAGAGAGAGAGAGAGAGAGAGAGAGAGAGAGAGAGAGAGAGAGAGATTATAAGCTTCTTGAGGGTAGGGGATGTCTTTTGCCTCTTTTGTACTCCAGTGCTTAGCACAGTGCCTAGCACATAGTAGGAGCTTTATAAATGCTTTTTTTTTTTTTTTTTTTTTTTGCATTAGATTGTAAGCTTCAAGGGCAGGGACTGTCTTTTGCCTCTTTTTTGTACTCCAGTGCTTAGCACAGTCCCTGGCACATAGTAGGTACTTAACAAATACTGACGGATTGATTGACTCAGAGAAAGTCACTTACCCTTTCAATGCTCTAGGCAATTGTCCAACTAAAAGTGGGAAGAAGCCAACTTGTGTTGACATGGAGCATTCCTCCACCCCAGAGTTCCCTATACCAATAAGTTCTTAAGTCCAGTCTTATTCCACATTTAAATGAAATGGAATAGTATGATTCAACTAACACTGACAAGTATGAAGAATACAGAAAAATCTGGAATGATCTTTGTGAAATAATGCAAAAAGGGGGGAAACCAGCATGAGATGAGTGGGGTGCACACCAGCTTTCACCACTTAAAAGACAAAGTTAATGAGAAGTAGCATGTTATAGTGGAAAGGGTACAGATTTGGTGTTGGGGGATATGGACTCCAATTCTGCCTTTGATGTTTGCTGTCTCTGTGACCCTGGGCAAGTCACTTCACAGCTCTCTGCCTCAGTGTCCTCATCTGTAAAATGAGGATAATATCTTAAGAGACTACCTGACAAAACTCTTTTGAGGCTCAAACAGGGAAGGCACCTTGGAATAAGGTGAGGCAGCTGCCCTTGGAGTCAGAGGATCTCTGACTGCCAGTTATTTTACCACTCTCTGCCTCAGTTTCCTCCTATGTAAAATGAGAAGGTTGTACTGGATGACCTCTAAAGCCCCTTTTAACTCTAGATCTGTGATCCATGACCTGAGTTTGAATCCCAACTGGGCCAATTACCTGGCACCTGTGTGACCTTGAGCAAGTAACTTAGCCTCTACCAGTTTTTTTCGTCTGTAAAATGAGTGTATTGAACTAGCTTCCAGCTCTAAATCTATGATGCTAGCTAGTAAAAAAAAAAATTAACAGAATAAAGATGATTGTATCTAAGATCTTTTGTTAAAGAATCCTCATGGGGATGAAGGGGAAAGGGGAGCTACTTAAAATTGTCCTAGTGTAGAATACATTGAAATTGAGGTCAGTATAAGTAGTTACTCAATAAGCATCGGTAATGTTGGCGTTTGATGTTGAGTTTTTAGTAAAACATTTAATTTAGTTAAAAGTGTGGAATGCCTGGCTGGGAGCAGTCTGGGAGAAGGGGCAGCAGGGTCCATCAGCCTAAGCGAGGTCTTTGCAAACTCTCCATGCGCTCCAGGCTGCCTGTGATGTGTTCTGCGTGGGGGATGATGTCAACATCGAGAAGGCCAACAACTCCCTCATTAGCAATGACCGCAGCTGGAAGAGGAATAAGTTCCGGCTGACCTACGTGGCTGAAGCTCCAGAGCTCACCCAAGGTAGGGACCCATAGCACTTGCCCTTCTCGTTGGCACTGATGGTGCCATCTGTGCCAAGCTGAATATGTGTGTAAGGCTAATGAAAATAACTGGCATTTCTAGAGTGCTCTAAGTTTACAAAGCGCTCTACAAACATCATCACGCTCAATCCTCACAACGTCCCTGGAGGTAGGAGTTATCATTACCCCCATTTTGTAGATAAGGAAACAGAGGCAGACAGAGGTCAAGTGACTTGCCCAGAGTTACACAGCTGGTAAAAGTCTGCAGTCAAATCTGAACTCGGGTCTTCCTGATTCTACATCCAGTGCTCTATCTACTGAAGCATCTAGCTACGTAATAAAAATACAGCCTCGTAGTCAGTGAGGCTTCCATACTCAAGGGCTAAGCAGGGAAAAGTCAGAGGTCAACATTCATTAGTGCTCAGGAGAAAAATTAACCTCTTTCATGCCTCCCAGACTCCCCCTTATGGTACAATCTCACCAGCAGGATCCTTCATGGCTTCCATTGGGCCATTAAATCAATGACTATTTACTCTGTGCACAATAAATGCCAGGATACAAAGAAAGGCAAAAACATCATCCCTATGCTGCAAGAGTTTACATTCTAATGGCAGAGACCACTGGTACATATAGGGCAGCTAGGTGGCACAGCAGCTAGAGTGCCAGGCCTGGAGTCAGGAAGACCTGAGTTCAAATTCAGCCTCAGACCCTTACTAGCTGTGTGACCCTGGACAAGTCCCTTAACCCTGTTTGCCTCAGTTTCCTCATCTATAAAAATGAGGGGGCTGCAGAAATTGTTTCCAAGGTCTCTTTCTGTTCTAAATCTATGATCCTAGGATGTGCCTAGCAAAGCATTCTAGACAAATGAACTGGCATTATCATTCTGCATTCAAGGGATGGAAAGAGGATAGGGACAACAAACCCGGGGGAGGATCTGAATCTTCCCTTGCCTTGGTTGGCTCCGGGCAAGCTGCAGTGCGTCTGCAAAGGGTCTGGGAGGAGGAGAAGGAAGCATTGGAAAGTTATTCTAGAGGGATGACGAGGCATCAGAAAAGGACCTGGGTTGGAATAGAAGTAGCTAATGGGGATAAGTGCCTGTCAAGAGCAAGCTGAGGACCAGGATATGATTAGAGGCAGCCAGGTGGCTCAGTGGATCGAGCACTAGACCTGGAGTCAGAAACACCTGAGTTCAAATTCTGCCTCAGATACTTACTAGCTGTGTGACCTTGGGCAAGTCACTTCACCCTGTTTGCCTCAGTTTCCTCATCTGTAAAATGAACTGGAGAAGGAAATGGCAAACCACTCCAGTATCTCTGCCAAGAAAACCCCAAACAGGGTCACAAAGAGTCAGACATGGCTGAAAAAACTGAACAACAAAAACAACATATGATTCAGCCCAGCTGAGACCAAGGTGGAATGGGTAGGGTAAGGATGAGTGGTGGGCCCTGGCTTATAGGAGTTTCAGTGACCCCTGACAGGCCCATCTCAGGAGATTTCTTTCCCCCAGGTCTGTACAGCATTCACAAAAAGCGAGTATCTGCTGCCCGGCTCCTCAGCCGCCAGAACCTTCAGAGCCCTAACTCCAGGTAAGCATGCATTCCATACACTTTGGGTTCTCTCTCTCTCCTCCTTCCAAAACCATCCTTCCCAGAAGGATGAATATTCTCTCCAATTCTCAGCACTGAAACAGGATCTCAACTCCTCTGCAGTGGCATGAAAATACTTTTGCTCACTCCTGGCTTTGCTGTGTCTCCTTTGCCAATTTCTATCCATTTGGTAGAGAGTGAATGTTGGTGACTCTGATGGGAAAAGGAAAGAGGATGGCTTGGGGACATGAGTGAGGCAGCTAGGTAGTGTGGTTAATAAGTGCACTAGACCTGGAATCAGGAAGACCTGAGTTCAAATGCAGCCTCAGACACTTATTAGCTGTGCGATCTTGAACAAGTCACTTAACCCCGTTTGCCTCAGTTTCCTTGTATGTAAAATGAGCTGGAGAAGTAAATGGCAAGTCATTCCAGTATCTTTGCTAAGAAAACCTCAGTTGTGGTCACAGAGTTGGATACAACTGAATACGATTGAACAACAGTAACTTAGCTAGTGCTTTAATGTTCACAAAGTACTTTACAGATATTATATCATTTAATCATCACCACAACCCTAGAAGGTAGGTGTTATTATTGATTCCATTTTTACAAATGAGGAAACTGAGGCTGAAAGAGATTAAGGGACTTTCTAGTATGTATCTGAGGCAGGATTTGAACTCAGGTCTTCCTGATTCCAGGCCTAGTGCACTTATTAACCACACTACCTAGCTGCCTCTCTCATGTCCCCAAGCCATCCTCTTTCCTTTTCCCATCATAGTCACCAACATTCATTCTCTACCAAATGGATAGAAATTGGCAAAGGAGACACAGTGTTATTCAAAAACTGGGCAGAATACATTATGAGCCTCAAAGGTTGGCTATCTTCATAAGGATTATAGAGTTGGAAAGGTCCTTAGGAGTCACCACAGCGAGAAGGTGGAGAAGCCCTGCTTTACATGAAGTAAGTGACTATCAAAAGCCATGTTTTTGGCAGCAGCCATTGCTGGGAGCATCCTCAGATGCTGTTATTTATAGGACTAACAAAGTCCAAATGGCAATTGGCAATCCCTATTGGGAAGAGAAGGCTCTCTACCCCTCTCTTTTTTTAATTGGAAAAATTCCCTTCTAATTGAAAAAAGACCATCACAGGGGGATAGACAATATATGGGCCCCCACGGTACCATACAATCTCCCTTCCTGTTTTGATGCACAGAAGCACATATAAGAAGAAATAATGATTTTAAAGCTAATTGGAATTATTTCGGCAGTTGTAGGAGAGGGTAAACGCAGGAATGATTCCCCAAACTGATGTGCCACATCTGTAAGTCTCCTGCAAGGGCTTCATATCCACTGTTGCCACCAGTCAGTAAATAAACAAGCATTTATTAAACGCCTGCTACGTGCCGGGTGCTGTGCTAAGCACAGGGTCTGGGCCCTGAGAAGAGCCTTTAACTCTTAAGTTAAGAGATCTAGAATACGGTTGCCTGGAAATGTTTTGATCAAGGTTTGTGAATGAGGTTAGAGACAGGAATAGATTAGTAAGAGTTAAAAATGAGTGAGCAAAGTATTAGTCTGTCCCTAGGTGTTTACTTCTTTTAAAGTATGTTCTAAAAGATTCTCTACTTTCCTATTTAATATTATGTTCTCATGGTTTAATAAAGAGTTCTTCTTATTTGTTTTTAAAGAGTGAAACATGGGGCAGCTGGGTGGCTCAGTAGATAGAATACCGGCCCTTACTAGCTGTGTCACCTTGGGCAAGTCACTTAACTCTGTTGGCCTCAATTTCCTCATCTTTGAAATGAGCTGGAGAAGGAAATGGCAAACCACTCCAGTATCTCTGCCAAGGAAACCCCAAATGGGGTCACAGAGAGTTGGACATGACTGAAAATGACTGAACAACAATAAACATTTATATAACACTATGTGCCAGGTACTGTGCTAAGTGCTTCATGATTCTTCTTATTTGATCTTCACAACAACCCTGAGAGGTAGGTTGCTATAGATAGAGCAATTGATAAAGTCAGCCTTGGGGTCAGGAAGACCTGGGTTCAAGTCCAGGCTGTGGCACATGCTGGCTTTGTGACCCTGGACAAGTCACATAACCTTTTGGTGTTCTAGGGCATCTCTCAAAGACTATCATTTTCAGAGGAGGTACTGACCTGCATTGGCAGAAGGAGTTCCCTCTTCCAATGAAATCACTGACCCAGTTCAAAAAAAAAAAATAAGCAAGCAAGCCCATTGCTAGGAGTTGGAGGGAATAATAGATGACTGAATCCAAAAGAAATACTCCTCTTTTGTGCACTTTTTATGTACCAACCAAGAGCTGATCAATTCTTGCATCAACTTCTGGCATGTCTCACAGATATCAAAACGTAGCCAGGCAGATAAAAACAGGGGCATACTTGAGAACACCAGCTAGGAGGGTGGGACCAGAAGCCAGGGAGGCTACACAGTACCATGGAAAGAACATTGGCTCTACACTCAAAAGACCTGGATTCGAATCCTACATCTTACACTTACTGCCTCTGTGACCTGGGACAAGTCACTTGTCCCCCTCCCATCCCAGTTTCCTCTTCTGTAAAACCAGGGGCTTGGCCTTCTATCTCTAGCTCTTGGATCCTTTGACTTTGGGCAAGTTATTAGGCTTTCTGTGCCTCAGTTTCCTCATCTGTAAAATGAGGGCATTAGACCAGATGAGCTATGAATTCCCTTCCAAATATAGGATCCCTCGATCTTTCCCTTCCCCTAGTTTGTATGAACAAGTCTACGTATGTCTCACAAGCTAAAAAAACATCTTAGGGAACACGACATTAGGGCAACCCCTAAGTTACTGATATCCTAAAGAAGCGTCACCCATGGTGACAAGGCAACACCACCTTGAGACCACGCAGCAAGAAGAAGCCATAACTGGGCTTCTAGGCTCCATCAGCAGTGCCCTTGGAACATCGACCCTCTGGCCCCGCCCTGCCAAAGGAATGGTGCTGGACCCGCCCGCACGGCCAGGCCAGCTTCCGTCCAGTGTTCTCCAGCCCGCCTGCGTCTTTATCTGCCCAAGCACATTTTGATATCTACAAGAGGGCAAGCATGAGTTGGCCCAAGAGTTTCACCAACTAAGCACATTTTGGGGGTGAAAAAAAAAAACAGCTCAGCAGACTCTGGGGCCTCAGCATTTCTCCTGCACAGAAGGAAGGGATTGCAGGCAAATGAGATTTCTGAAAGAAATCGTGGTGATTCTGGGAGAGAGCAGAAAGTGATTGTGTCAACATTCAAGAGGCCATCATCATCATGGCCAAATGAAGAGGAAAGAAAGGCGCACCCACAGCGCCCCCTGCTGGGCCTCTAGCTACAGGCAGTGAGTATCCCAGGTCCTAAATCTGGGCAGTGTGATTAATGGCAGCTCTGCTGCCCCTCAGGGTTAGACCAAACCCTCTTTGTAAATGAGGGAGTCTGTATTTCAGAGGGATAAGCAACTCATCCAAGGACAAGCAGTGCTCAGCTGCTCATGAACGTGGCCTCTAAATCCAATCATACATGAGCACCATTCATTACAGGTGTGCTCGCTTTAAGAGAACCAGTGCCTCGATATGATCTGCCCAAGTGTAACAATTGAAGGGAGCTGATCTGCATTACAAAAAGACATTTTACCAAAGGGTTCCTTTAATTAATAATAAGCTTCCCATGAGAGGCAGTGTGCTGTACTGAATAGAGTCACACACACAGGAAGACCTGAGTTCAAATCCAGTGTCTGACATATACTATCTGTGTGACCCCAAGGAAATCGTGTAACCTCTAAATGACCTAGTGAAATATGGAAATATGTTTTATGTGACTCTACATATATAAGCTATATCAAATTGTTTGCCTTCTCAAGCCAGGGGGGAAGAGAATTTGGAATTCAAAATTTTTAAACACTTGGGGGCAAATAAAATAGTAAATAAATATATAAAATTATAAGTGACCTAGTCAGCTCTTCAAGTGTGTAACTTGTAGAACAGGATGCAACCTGTCTTGACAGAGGGAGTGTATTCCTTGGGAGTTCCTTACACCAATCCTTATACCAAATCACAGGTCAACAAAAACAAACAAACAAACATTCCCCCTATATATTTAAGCACTATGTATATTTACATATCATTTATGTATGTATGTATCATTTACGTATCACTTTTCACTTTAAAAAAAAAAAAGGTGAAGAGAAAAGAAAATCCCATGCTCCAGATGTCCAGGTCAATGAGAAATGGGGCCGGAGTTGGGGAGAGAAAGCATTTCTGAAATTCTAATGCAAGTCAGTGGAAGAACTTGGGTTTGACTTACAAAAAATGAAATGTGAAACTTTGTAGGACTGCAGTCACTGTGAAAAATGAGATGCCAGTGTACCCATGCTATAAGTAGTACAAGCTAGCAGAAGAGGATTCTGGGAATTCGTGGTGGGAGGAGGGAGGCACATTCAGACTAGCATATGCTGTATTACCCCATGACTCAAGGCAAAAGGAAGCCTGAAAGGAAGTGTGACAAAAATTATGAAAGAAAAAACAATAGTCTGCCTTATATATTTCCCCTTCTCTGACACCACCACCTTCCTGGTTGGCACGGGGCTTTACTGGTGACCAAATTCGGTTTGATCCAAGCAGTACCTGGGAGTCCTGGACTTCCTGGACTTCAGTTTCCTTCCTAAAGAGTTGGACTAGATGATATCTGAGGGCCCTTCCAGCTCTAACATTCTAAAATCCTAGGAGGAGTAGGTTTGGGGACAGCCAATGAGGTGGGAACAAGCCGTGTAGGCTAGTGAAAGTATTTGTAGTTCCAAGCCTTAGCCTTAGAGCTAGTGCTAGCCACTAAGGATTTTGTAACTTACAGAGATTAGAGCTATGATAGCCCAGCACAGCACCTTTCAGACACTAGGCACTTAATAAATGCTTGTTGAACTGAATTGAATAAAAAGCCATTAGCCTCAACTTTGAACCATCTACCCACTCTAAGAAACAGGCAGCAAAAAATCTGAGAGATGACTAGGGTTAGTCGGAATGGGATAGTGGCTTTCATTAAATTAACTCCCAATTCTTCCTTTAGTCGATCAACCATCTTTGTGCGTCTCCACACCAATGGGAACCAAGAGCTGCAGTACCAGCCTGGGGACCATCTGGGTGTGTTCCCTGGCAACCACGAGGACATGGTGAATGCCCTGATCGATCGACTCGAGGATGCCCCTCCCACCAACCAACTGGTGAAAGTGGAGCTTCTGGAGGAGAGGAATACAGCTTTGGGTAACTATGGGGATGCTTGGCTCCACCCCCTCACCATATCCCCAGGAGAGTGCCATCATTCCTCTGGGACATCATAGGCATGGCACACAGGCATGAAGAGAAATTGGGTGGCATAAGGGAAAGAGCATTTGAAGTCAGAGGACTTAGAGTCACCATCCCATCTCGGGGACCTTGGCACTTAATAGCTATATGACTTTGGGCAAGTCTCTTCACCACTCTGGGCCTCAGTTTCCTCATCTGTAAAATCGGGGGGTTGGGCTAAATGGCCCCAAGGTCCCTTGCAGCTCAAAAATCCATTATTCTATGATCTTAAGTGAGACCAGTTGTTTCATCTGGATCTTTAAGCTCCACGTGGGAGGGCATCTCTCCTCCGAAAAGACTCTTACTCTCTCTCCATTCGACAACTTCTGTCTAAAACGCCAAACAAGTTCCCACTGAGGGACCTGGCACTTCCTGGGATGGATCGTGACTCTCACTAGTAGACATCACACTGGTGGTGTGGAGTTGACCACTTTTTTCCTCTCGTTTTATATATTCATTTACTTCTATATTTATATACTTATATATGTATATTTACTTATTTCCTCTCCACTCTTTTCCTCTCTTGCAAAGAGAATAAAGCCCTGGGCTTGAAGTGAGGGAGACCTAGGTTGAATTCCCACCCACGACTTTCAGTAGCTCATATATCACGGGCAAGTTTCTTTCTGAGTCTCAGTTTTCCCATCTATAAAATGGGGGAAGAAAAGACAGATAATAGTTCTCATAGAGTTGTTACAAGGTTCAGAGGGAGATAGCATATATTAAGCACTTTGCAAACTTTAAAATGCCATGTGATGTGCACTGAAAATTTCACAGCAGCTAGGTAGTGCAGTGGTTAGAGTACTGGGCCTGTAAGACCTGAATTCAAATCCAGCCTCAGACACTTACTAGTTATATGACCCTGGGCAAGTCACCTAACCTCTTTCAACTGTAAAATGGGGATAATAATAGCACCTGCCTCCCAGGGTTTTTGTAAAGATCAAATGTGATAATTTTTGTGAAGCTCTTAGCACTGTGCCAGGCACATGAGCACTTAATAAATCCTTGTTTCCTTCATGGCATAGTAGATACAGAGGCTGGTTGTAAGGAACAAATCAATAGAACATCCTTTGTAAAAAATGTCAGCTATTATCATTGCTACAGACATATAAATACAAACAAATATACATATAAAATATATACATAGGCATCTAAAATCCACTATTAAAATTGTTACATCCTTCAGGGACATCTTGCATTCCCCTTTGCTTTGCTAACCTTAAGGTATCACATAAACATCCTCTGTTATCATTGTTACATCCATGGGGACTTCCCTCACTTTTCCTGCAAATTTGTGTGGGCTCAGAGGAGTGGTATTGCCTAAAAGATAACGAGCTAGCATCAGCATCAGGAAGAGCCTGGGTACCTAAAGGTGCTTGATGCTGGACAAGGGTTCCCATGCCCATCTTCATTGGCAGGGAAACTCCCACTGGGAACTTCCTGCACTAACCCATTCACATGTCCAAGAAACAAGGTCGTAGACAAAATACTTACTTGTGGAAATGCCCTGACTCCCCCTGCTTGCCAGAGTGTCAGCTGCTTGAAAAAAGGCAGGGCCTTGGTCATCTTGTATGTCTGTGACCCCTGGACCTAAGCCGTGCCTTGATGAGTGAACGCCTAGTAACTGTGGGATGGATGGCGTTGTCCCCACACAGGCGTCATCAGTAACTGGACGGATGAGCACCGGATCCCGCCCTGCACCATCTTCCAGGCTTTTAAGTACTACCTGGACATCACTACGCCCCCAACGCCCGTGCAGCTGCAGCAGTTTGCCTCGTTGGCCACCAATGAGAAGGAGAAACAGCGGCTGCTGGTCCTCAGCAAGGTGAGGCTTGGGCCAGCCTCTTCACCCTCTGGTTAAATCTCAGCCCCTGGTAGGGAGGCTTGACAAGACGTGAGCCATCAATGAAGAAACCTGAGGAGGTCTTGGGCTGTTAAGACAGACAGGAAAGAGGTGTCTCTGCCCTGATTGGACCACATGGGGGTATTGGGTTCTTTTCTGAGCATCATATTTTGGGAAAGGAGTGGATGCATTTGAGAGAATCAAGGAGAAGGACAGCCAGGAGGTAAAGGCCCTGGCGTTCCCGTGAGGATCAGTCAAAGGAACTGAGGGTGTTTAGCCTTGGGGAAGAGAAGGCTTGGAGGGGCCACGATAGTTCCTCAAGGAGGCAGTGGGGTATATTGGAAAGAGCACTAACTCTGATGTGGAAGAAACTTGGTTCAAATCTTGCCTCAGATACTTGGTTCCTCTGTGACCTTGGGAAACTTCACTGGCCCTCAGGTTCAGAGAATCATTGCTTTGGAAGCAGAAGGGATCAAGCAGAAGGGATCTTAGAGGCCATCAAGTCAAACCCCCCTCATTTTTCAAATGAGGAAACTGAGGCTGAGAGAGATGAAGTGACTTGTCCATGGTCCCAAAGCTAGTAAGTGGCTGAGGCAGGATTTGAACCCAGGTCTTCCTGACTCCAAGTCCAGTGCTATCTACTGTATCACACTGCCTCTCCTTTGGGGTCAGTAACAGAGATAAAAAGGAATGAGTGATGGCTCCATGAGCCTGGGGTGGGCAGAGCATAAATCCTGGCACTTTGCATCCCTCCCTGGTCCTTCTCCAGGCTTCTTCTAATCTCAGTCAGAGAGTACAATCATGGTATTATCGAAAGAGCACTGGATTGGAAGCCAGGCAACCTGGATTCAGATTTGGCTTCTGTACTAACTAGACTTGAAGTCAGGAATACCTGAGTTCAAATCCTGCCTCATAAACTGTGTGACCTTAGATAAGTCACTTAACCTCTCAGCCTCAGTTTCCTCATCTGTAAAATGGAGAGAATAACAGTACCAACTTGATGAGGAACAAATGAGGTAAGACTTGCAAAGCACCTCAAAATGCTAAGTATTATTATTGCTACTTATATGACCTTGTCTATGTCCTTCCCCTCTTTGGGACTCAGTTTCCTCTCCTGGAAAATGGTCACTAATGGGGCAGCAAGGTGGTGCAGTGGATAGAGCACCGGCCCTGGAGTCAGGAGGACCTGAGTTCAAATCCAGCCTCAGACATTTGACACTTCCTAGCTGTGTGACCCTAGACAAGTCACTTAACCCCATTGCCTAACCAAAAAACAAACAAAAAAAAGAAAATGGTCACTAAGGATCAAATGAGACAATATTTGGAAAGCACTTTGTAAGCCTTAAAGCATTCTGCAGACACTAGCTATTATTATTGCTGGTACTGTTATTGTTGGTGTTATGATGATGATGATGATGCTGATGGTGATGATGATGAAGGTTGGACTAGATAACTCCCGGTCTCGGAGATCCTTTTCACTCTCAGTTGACGATCTTACAAGTTGGTTCCAGCTGCCTTTCCCCCCCTCCCTCGGTGCAGGGCTTACAGGAGTATGAGGAGTGGAAATGGGGCAAGAACCCCACGATCGTGGAGGCTTTGGAGGAATTTCCGTCGGTGCAGATGCCGTCCACTCTCCTGCTGACACAGCTGTCCCTGCTGCAGCCCCGCTACTACTCCATCAGCTCCTCCCCGGACATGTACCCTGATGAAGTGCACCTGACCGTGGCCGTCGTGTCCTACCGCACCCGAGGTAGGCGTGGGCAGATACCCTCCCCCACCCCCATCCTCCCTTGATAGGCAGTGAAGCCAGAAGTCCTGCCCCACACAACCCTAAACTAAATCCTTCCTTAGGGCTCTTCCACATCCACAGCCCAAAAAGTCCCCCAAGGGTAGAGGGGGCATAGAGAAATGATGTGAGTAACAGCCTAGTGAAAAGAATCCTGGACTAGAAGTCAGAAGACCTGGGTTCAAATCCAGCCTCTGACAATACTCGTGTGACCTTCGGCAGGCCACTTAATTTCTTCCTCAGTAAAACAAGAGGCGGCCAGGTGGCCCAATAAGGCCTGGAGTCAGGAAGATTTTAATTTGAATCCTGCCTCAGACGCCTACTAGCTGTGTGACCCTGGGCAAGTCATTAACCACTGTCTGCCTCAATTTTCACTTCTGTAAAACGAGGATAATAATAGCTTCAATCTTCCAGGGTCGTTATAAGGATCAAATGAGACAATATTTGGAAAGCACTTTGTAAACCTTGATGATGATGATGGTGATGATGAAGGTTGGACTGGATTTACTCTAAGGCCTCCTCCAGGCCTAAATCCATGATCCTAAGATCCCTACCAGCTGAATTATTGGGTAACAGTTATGAAGCCACCAAAGTTTATCTCAGGCTCCCTTCAACTATTCGTTTGGGCATTTCTGTTACCTCATTGGATCATAGATTCAGAGCTGGAAGAGACCCAGAGGTCATCATGTCCAGCCCCCTTATTTTACAGAGGAGGACACTATGCCCTAGAAAGGTGAAGAGCGTTGCCCAGGGTCACATGGCTAGTAAGTATCTGAGGCAGGATTTGAACCCAGGTCTGTCTGACTCTTAGACTCTATCTATTACCAACGGTTCTTAATCTCTCTTAGCATCATGGAGCCCTTGGGCAGTCAAATGAAGCCTATGGACCACTTCACAGAGTAACATATTTAAATGCTTAATATAAAACACATAGGATTACAAAGGAAACCAATTCTATTGAAACATAGTTATAAATTAAAAAAAAAAAAACAAGCTTATGGAGCCTGATTTAAGAACTCCTGCACTAAATGATCCAAGGGCAGAGCCAGGCTACTCCTTCAGGTGTGGATTTCATGGGAGGGATTGGGTACCACCAGGTGGGCAGCCAAACCACTTGTTTCCTGCGTTTCTTTGCCAGATGGGGAAGGACCAATCCACCACGGGGTCTGCTCTTCCTGGCTCAACCGAATACAACCTGAGGAGGTGGTGCCCTGTTTTGTCCGAGGGTAAGTGACAATTGGAATGGGGGTAGGGGGCCAGCAGATGGAAGTGCCAATCTGAGTACTTTCCTTGATTCATAGAGTTACCGTGTGCAGGCAAAGAAACCCCTCCCATAAATATCAGACTACAGTCACCTTCCCTGTCCCCAGGAAAAGAACTGTTCAGAAAAGCAGAGCAATTGATTCAGGAAGTCTGGGTTATTACATACATTTAAACAATAGACCTCACTCATTATCTCACTCCCCAAAATCCCTGGATATCTCCCAACCTCATCCCTGCCTCTTGCTATCAAGTGATGAAGCTAAGCTTTCAAATGTGTAACTGCTGAAGTGAAAGAAGGAAGAAACAAGCACACATTAAGTGTCTACTATATGCTAAGCAAACCTTTGATCCCTTCAATCTGCTCTGCAGTGGTCTCCCAATGTAGCCTTCTGAAAAAGATTTTTCTGCCACCTGTGATGACCTCCTCTATGGCAGGGGAAGTCCCCTGACAGAATAGCAGGATGAGAACATTTTATTCCAACGCCCATGAAGGCAGCTGAAGCAGGCACTGTGGAGTGCTTAGAGCTTGGTCAGACATCAAAGATGCACCCCGGGCCATGGCCAATCATCCTAACTTTTGTCCTGCCACCAGACTTGGACGACTCTGGAAGAGAGAATGAAGCTGATGACGCTGTGCAGTTCTGCCTCACTTAAATCCAATTCCCATTCAGGTCAACACATCACATGTTGTCATTGGTCTTCTTCAAAAACGAAGCATGAACAACAATAAGAAGTAGTGTTAGGGTATCAAAGGACCTGGATTCAAATCCTACTTTTTGGTATGTGACCTTAGACTAATTACTTCACATACCTGGGACTCAGTTTCCGCATCTGTTAAAAAAAAGAAGAGGGGGAATGGTTATACTCAATGATCTCTAAGGGTCTTTCTAGCTGTATGTGGACCAACTTGCTAAGTTCTGAGGAAATTAAAAAGCTTAGCAAAATATGGTCCACACCCTCAAGGCATATAGTCTAGTTGGAAGATAAGACACTAACACAAAGAGATTAAATTATAAAATTTCCATAAAGGCATTAGAGAGGTACAGAACACAATACTATGAGGGTTCTGTAGGGGAAGGTCATTCACAACCTGTGAGTCAATCAACAAACATTTATTAAATATTTACTATGTTCCAGGTCCTGTGAAGGGGATTTAAAAAAAAAAAAGTTAAACCAGGTTAATCAAGGAGGGTTTTCTGAAAAGGAAAATTAAAAAAAAAGGAACTGTGTGGGTTGAACTTTACCAGAGTTTTCCTGCCTCAGCAAAAGCCACATCTTCTTCTGGGGAATGTGTTTGTCAAGCTCAGGATTACATAAGGACATCATGGATTTAGAGCTGAAAGGCACTTAGAGTCTGTTGAGTCCAATATGTTACAGATGAAGAAACTGATGCCCAAGGAAGCTAAGACACTTATCGTGGGTCATCTGGCCAATGAGTGTCAGAGGCAGGATTGAAACTCAGGTTTTCCTGACTCCAAGAACAATAGCAGAAAGGTCAAACACACAGACTTGTGGGGTCTGCTGCAAAACCCATGAATGCAGTCAGAAACCAGATTAAAATCTAATTGGGAAGTGTTTCAAAAATAAAAATACAATATGACACAGATAATGTTAATTTGTGGTTTTCTAAGTCAATTTGAAGTTGTTTCCATTTGCTTTTGACACCACCAGCTTCTAGAATATCTACAGACCGTAGAGTGCTTCTAAGTTAGTCTGAGTTCAAATGAGATATTTGTAAACCACTTAGCACAGTGCCTAATACACAGTAGGCACTATATAAATGCTAGCTATTGTTATCATTATTTAGTTAGTTGGTTGTATGCTTACTGCTGTATTTGGCATTAAAATAAGTCCTCCTCCTTTGTCCAGAGCACCGAGCTTCCACTTGCCCCGGGATCCCCAGGTACCCTGTATCCTGGTTGGCCCAGGCACTGGAATAGCGCCTTTCCGGAGCTTCTGGCAGCAAAGGCTATTCGATATCCAACACAAAGGTGAGTTGCAGTCTGCTCTTCTACCCTTTGCCTCCTACATACAGGGGAGCAAGCACTGGGCAGCTTCAATGATCAAGGAAAGAATCAGCCTCCTGCACAACCCAGCAGGATTCCTAAGCCTATGAATGATGGACTGGCCATACCCATAGGGGAAGTGAGCTACCGCTATATGGTAGGATCATAGAATTTTGGACTGGGAGGTTCTCAAAGAACCTCTTTCCTTTTACAAGTGAATAAATTGGAACTCAGCAAGGGAAAGTAATTCCCCAAGGTCACACAAGTGGTAAGTAGCAGAGCTGAGAACTGAACCCAGGTTCTGTCACTCTACATCCAACGAGCCAAATCCTAAAGAAAGGCTCCTTGGTCAGAAATATCTCTATATTTTAAAAAAAAAAAAAGCATTCATTTTGATCAAATTGGATTTACACCAGAGATGCAAGGATGGTTCAACATTAGGAAATTGTTGGCATGAATCATGTAAACAGTAAAAACCTTATGGTTATTTCAATAGATGTAGGGAAAGTTTTCAACACAGTATACATTTTTGCTAAAACCTATAAAAAAGCTTCAGCATAGAAGGACCCTCCTTTAATATGATCAAAAGCATATTTCTAAAGAAAAGAGCTAGCACTATTTGGAAGAGGAAAACAACAGAAGCATTCCCAATAACTAAAGGGGTAAATCAAGGATGCTCCTACTCCCCAGTATTATTTGACATAGTTCTAGAAATGTTAGCTGCAGTAATAAGACAAAAGGGAAATTCAAGGTATAAACATTGACAGAAGCGAGCCAAAATTATTCCTATTTGCATGTGACATGATGGTTTACTTGGAAAACACCAGACTGTCAATGAATAAACTAAATGAGATGATTAATAGCTTCAGTAAAAGAACAGGATAAAAAATAAATACACAAAAATCATCAGCATTTTTCTCTGCGATAGAAGAAAGAACCAAGAGGAAACAATAGAAAAAGAAATTCTCTCCAAAGTAACTACCAAATACATAAAGTATTTGAGAATTAACCTACCAAGACAAATTTGGGGCTTACATAAATAGAACTATAAAATACAGTATTTATAGAAATAAAGGAAGGTTTAAATAGTTGGAGATGTATTTATCGTTCATAGTTGGGCCATATTAATGTAATAAACAATGACCAGAGGATCACCATCTTAGAAACCATCTAGTCTAACCCCATCATTTTACAGATGAGGAAACTAAAGCTGGAAAAAGCTAAGTGACTTGCCCACAATCACACAGCGAGCATCAGAGATGAAATTTGAAACCAGGTCCTCTGTCTCCAGAATCAATATGCTAATGATATTATGAAAGATAATTTATGGATTTAGTGCCAAACCAATCAAAATACCAAGGGTTTATTTTACAGAACTAGATGAAATATCAACAGAATTCAGCTTAAGGAGTAAAAGGTCTACAATCTCAAAGGAATTAATGAGGGCAAAATAAGAATGAGGGGAACTAGAATTGGCAGATCTCAAACTATTCGATAAAGTAGTGATCATCAAAACTCCTTTGGCACTGGTTTAAAAAACAGTAGACAGAGCATTAGCCCTGGATTCAGGAGGACCTAAGTTCAAATCCAGCCTCAGATGCATGATACTCACTAGCTGTGTGACTCTGGGCAAGTCACTTAACCCTGATTGCCTCAACAAAAAAAAAACCAAACACCCAGATCAGTGACATAGACTAGATAAGCAAAACTCAGAAGTAATCAAATGCAATAAGTCCATCTTTTGATAAACCCAAGAATAGAAACCACGGAAGAAAGGATTACCCTATTTATCAAAAACTGGAAAGCAGTTTTGCAAAAAATAGGTTTAGATGGACATCTTATACCATATTCCCAAACAAGCTCCAAATGGATAAGCAACCAAAATGTAGAGAAGGTAGGGAGGCAGAGAAAAAAGGAAGGAAGGAAGGAAGGAAGGAAGGAAGGAAGGAAGGAAGGAAGGAAGGAAGGAAGGAAGGAAGGAAGGAAGGAAGGAAGGAAGGAAGGAAGGAAGGAAGTGAAGAAGGGAGGACCAACCAACCTATAATTCATTGTTATAGGGAACTCCCAGGTGAGGAAACTCTCTTTACTGATGTAAGTATAGCACCTTCCCTTCAACTTAGAGAGATGCTTAGAGTACTAAGAAGTTAAGAAATACTCAGCATCACAGAGCCAATATGTGTCTGAGACAGAACTTGAGCCTGGGTCTTCTGGCTTTCTAGATCAGCTCTCCATCCACTACACCACACTGCTTCTCAAATAAATAAATATTAACCATTATTGCAATAATATTTATAACTACTACTACTGCAATGACTATTATTTCTACATGGGCTTCCCACCTAATCAGCTGCCAGTGTTGTCAGTAACCTGAGTTTCCCTGACTTCCAGGCATGTCTCCATGTCCCATGGTCCTGGTCTTTGGATGTCGACAGTCCAAGATTGACCACATCTACAAGGAGGAAACCCTACAGGCCAAGAACAAAGGGGTCTTCAGAGAGCTGTACACGGCCTATTCCCGTGAGCCAGACAAACCAAAGGTAGTTAATCCTTCTGCCCCTCTCATGCCCCTATCTGATGGGCACACGCTTGGAGAGCCATTCTCTCTTACTGCTCTCTCCTGCCTTCTCGTTCCACAGACACTTAAGCACTCCAGTGGACTCTGGAGCCAGCGTCTTCAAGGCCTTGGGGTCTTGTCATGTGAAACAAGGTCTAGATTGGTTCTATTTGATACCAGAGGGCAGAACTAGGAACAGAGGGTTGGAGTTGTTTGTCCTTTGTTCTGGAATAGGACCATGACATCAGGGAGGGGATGCCATGGCTTGCAAGTGAATTGGACTTAAGTGAAGGAGGGATATAGATCAGAATGACTAGAGATGCCCCTGGATGCAGTGGGAGAACTTGGGTGAAAGCTGTAAGGAGGAAGATTCAACACGCATTTATTAGGGACCTGGGTGCCAAGCACTCTGTCCTCAATGCTAGTGACAGAGACTAAAATGAAACAGTCCCTACCCACAAAGAGTTTAAATTATATTGGGGGAGGAGGGGAGAGAATGAAGATAATACATAAACCAATCAATAGAACATACATACATAGTCACTCTAAAGCTGGGGGAATCAGGAATGTTCTTGAGTATATGTGGAGGAGACAACATAATAAACCCCAACAGTTAGCTTCTGAAGAAGAATAAATTTACTGGATCTGTTCTAGCAGCTGAAAAAGGAACAAGACATTTGTATCGGGCTGGCTTTTGGCAAAATTGTGATGTGGGATCACGGATCTAGAGATGGAAGAGTCTTTAGAGCCTATTGAATCTAATCCCCTCATTTTACAGAGGATGAAACTAAGGTCCATAGATGGGAAATGACTTGCCTAGGATCACATAGCTAGTAAGTGTCTAAGGCAGGATTTTAACTCAGATCTTCCTGGTTCCAACTCCAAGATTTTGTCCATTACACTGCAGTCTTTTTTTTTTTTAATGTTGTTGAGTCCTGGGATGGCTAGCTGCTGCTATGGACAGAACACTGGGCTTGAAATCAGGAATACTCATCTCCATGAGTTCAAATCCAGTCTCTGACACATATTATCTGTGACCCTAGGGAAGTCACTTAATCCTGTTTGCCTCACCTTCCTCAATCTGTAAAATGAGCTGGAGAAGGAAATGGCAAGCCACTCTGGTATCTTTGCCAAGAAAACACGAAATGGGGTCATGAATAGTTGGACATGACTGAAGAAGACTGAACAACAACAAAGAGTTTTGAAAGGAACTAGGGATCCCAAGAAGCATTCCAGGCACAGAGGACAGTCTACTTTCCAATACCTGGCCCTACTCAAAAGTAGAATGGATTGCCTTGGGAAGTATTGGATTTTCCTTCAGAAGAGGTCTTTCTGGAAAAGCTAGGTGGCTGCTTGTTGGGGACTCTTATTCAGGTAAGGGTTGGACAAGATGGCCTCCAAGTTCCCTTCCAATTCCAGGAGTACGAAATTCTTGGAAGTATAGGAAACGGGAGTCCTTGAGGAAGAGCTCCTCAGCTTTAACAGGGATAGGGACCATGTAAGTCCTTTGAGGCTTCTTGTCTCAAATGTAGTCATATAATAATAAGAAGGAATGGACAACTTTACCAGGAGAAGGAACCCTTTGAAAATGAGGGAGTCAAAGCTTGGCTTGAGAGAGGAGTTGAGAAAATGAGTTTGAAAATCAAATTAGATAATATAAGCAAAGTGTTTTGCAAACCTTAAAATGCTATATAAATGTTAGATAGTATCATGGTTATTGTTAGATATTATCATTAATCATCATCATCATCATCATCATCATCTACCTCCACTCTTCACAAAGGTAGGGGATTATGGGTATAAAATGTCACATATGCTGTCAGACACAGATAGGTTGATTTTTTTTTAATTTTCGTTACAGAGTATGGGTTGCTGGTTTTAAAAACAAGTTGTTTGTTTTTAAAAAAAAAAGGAAATAAGGGTGTCCAAGGTTCAGGACTGGCCAGCCCATTGCTATTGACACTCTCTCTTCCCCACAGAAATATGTACAGGATGCCTTACAGGAACAGCTGGCAGAGACCGTGTACAGAGCCCTGAAGGAGAAAGGGGGCCACATTTACGTGTGTGGGGATGTCACGATGGCAGCCGATGTCCTGAAAGCCATCCAGCGCATCATGATCCAGCAGGGGAGGCTCTCAGCAGAAGAGGCTGGGGTGTTCATTAGCAAACTGAGGGTGAGTGGTGACTAGGTGTCCTGGAATCTTCCATGGCTGGAGCATTTCATAGGTCACGTAGACTATTAAGAGCTGGAGGAGTCATTTCAGAGATGCTGTTTGGGAAGGACTTAGAGGCTACCGAGTTCAGCCCCATTCACTTTCCAGATGGTGAACCTGAGGCCCAGAGAGTTACGGGACACATCCAAGGTCAGGTCATAAGTAGCAGAGCCAAGATTCAAACCCAGTTCTTCTAAGTTCAAAGCCAGTCTTCTTTTCACTACACAAAGCTGTCTCCAACCTAATCCAACCCTCTTATTTAACAAAGAAAAAAGTTGAGGCCCAGTAGGGGGAATGACTTGCCTAAGGTCTCATGGCAAGTTAGGAGAAATGTCTATCACTGACTCATGTTTTTAGAAACCATAAAGTTCTCGGCATTTCCCACCAACACCTGGGCTCTTGTATGACTCTGGAGAACTTCTCCCTGGACTCAAAGCCAGTGTTTCTATCCCTCAGGATGACAACCGCTACCATGAAGATATATTTGGAGTCACCCTGCGCACGTACGAAGTGACCAACCGCCTTAGATCTGAGTCCATTGCCTTCATTGAAGAGAGCAAGAAGGACACTGATGAGTAAGCCAGCTCTGTTTCTTTGGAAATCTCAGGGACCAAAGGCAAGCACGACTTAGGCTAGAGCTGGAACTAGGGTGGAGCAACTGGGACTTTCACCAAGGGCACCAACATTCAGAGGGTTCTAGGAACAATTGTGTTTATTCAGCTGGTACAAATAACTAATCATAATACCTATTTAACAGTAATAATTAGTTAAAATAGGATGCTACAAGATGGTCTACTATCTCCCCCCAGCAGCTGCATCACAGGGGAGTTCCTCCTTGACTTGGCCCCGCCAAGGTCTTAGCAACCTTCCCATCATCAGCCTGCTCATGGCCTAGGTTCTCAATCCATGGGACTTCGTGTCAGGAATCTCTCTACCACCCTGAACTGAATGTCTCTTTTTAAAAATTGCTTTGAGGCTACCTTTTGTGGTACTTCTCCAGAGGAATGGAACTGCCGATGATAGTTCTGGCTTACACACAGAATGTTCCTCCTGCCTCCAGAGACCCCTTCCAGTTCCATTGGGCACATCTCTTAAGATACTGTCTTTGGATCATGGCTGTCCACTTGGCTGAATAGCAGGGGTCCCCAACCCATAGATAGCTTAAACACTTTCCATTGTGGTTTTGCTTTCAATCCACCAACTCCCCCAACCAGAACATAATGTTCCTACAGACTATTTGTGACCAACCCATGGTAGAGCCTTGCGAGATAGTATCGGTCTGACCAGCCACAGTTAGTCACACTGTACATTGGTCCAACATAGTGAGGACATTTTGGTCCTGTTCAACTATGAAGGACAACCACCAGTTTTCTTTGGGGATGGGGAAGAGACATGGAACCTGCGATCACACTGGTATAAGGAACTTCTAGAAAGGAAACTCCCTTACTCATGCAAATTGTAACCTTCTACAACTTAGAGTCTTATAATGACTGAGGCAGGGGCAGCTAGGTGGTGCAGTGGATAGAGCACCAGTCCTGGAGTCAGAAGGACCTGAGTTTAAATCTGGCCTCAGACACTTACTAGATGTGTGACCCTGGACAAGTCACTTAACCCTGATTGCCTCCCCCCCCAAAAAAAATAAACAAATAATGCCTGGGGCACTAAGAGGTTGTGACCTGCCCAGGATCAAGTGGCCAGCATGTATAAGAGTCAGGACTTGAATCCAGGTCTTCTCACCTCTCCGCCCAGATCTTTACCTATTACACTACACTGTCTCTCATGTAATCTTCTCATGAATAACAATTCATTGTATTTTGATAATGCCATCCACAGGCCCTGCTCCAGACACCTAGAGATTATAGGATTCAGAGTCAAAAGGAACTTCTGAGGTCATCTAGTCCAACACTTTCAGTCCATAAATGAGGAAATTAAGACCTTTGAGGAATGAAGTGACTTGCCCAAAGTTACCTTGGTAGAAAAGGGGAGGGCTGGATTTAAACCCCTAACTTCTGATTTCAGATTTAGCACTCTACACCAGAGATAACAGCGTGAGGTAGTAGATAGAGCACCGGACTTGAAGTCAGGAAGACCTGGGTTCAAATCCCATAAGCCGTGTGACCCTGAGTAAGTGAAATCACCTCTCTGGGCCTCAGTTTCCTCATCTGTAAAATAAAGGGGTTGGATTCAATGACCTCTATGGTCTCTTCCAACTCTAAATCTATGATCTCACAGGAAATGCCTTACAGCATGATAAAATGAGGACAAGACATCACTTCCTTAATGGCTAAAAGTATGGTTGACTTTATTGTCATCCTTACCTTGTCATGTCTTACCATAATTTCAGATCTATAAGATGCCATTCCACACAACACACACTCCCTCCAACTTGTGGTGACCACATGGTCTCTATTTATTTCCTAAGACTTTTAGATTAAACTGTCTTAGAATTGAAATAGGACCCTTCTTTAAACCACCACTAAACTGTTTCTCAGATGCATGTGTGGTGAAGCGGTGGTGACCCCGGATTCTCTAAGACCGTGCCAACAAGGTGCAATCTCGGCAGGTCCTAGCTGTCAAGGCTTCCACACCTGGTCAGCATCAGAAGCTTATTGTCTGAAGACCAGCTTAGTTAAGATGAGCAATGTGCCTCAACAGGCTGTCTGTAATGAAATGAAGGTTTTGACCGCAGCAGATCACCAGCCAGGCTGCAGTGAGAAGCAATCTGTGTGTTAGCAGAGGAGGTCCCCAACCTCCAAAAAAAAAAACCCATGGATCTTCAATACACTGAAACATCTTTTTTTTAATGCTTAACATATAAGTCACCTTATCTTCTAATACACAAGGTCTCCATATTTTTTCCCCAAGATAAGAAATCAGCTTGGGCGAATTTAGATGGATTGTGATCCAAATCCTTGGAAGAAATTCCTCATCAACAGGGCTATTGTCCTATTGGAGTAAGATGATAATGTGTCAAACATGAACCGAACATCTTCGGGGTTTGTTTGGGGGTTTGGGTTTTCTTTCTCCTAATGAGCTAGTTTCATTTAAAGTCACCATGGGCCTTATATAACACATAGCATTTTGTAACTTTTTTTCTCCATTCTATCATACTTCCTTGGCTATAGTCTTAGTAACATAATGCTTCTCTTGATTCTTTACTGTTGCTGGTTCCTCTCACCCACCCCCATCAAAATTGCTTTGTATACATGTTGACTTGTCTATGGCTATGTTGTTTTGCCCAATAGAAGGTAAGCTCCTTGAGAGGAATGATTGTTTCATTCTTTTTCTTTGTATTCCCAGCCTTCTGGCACATAGTAGGTACTTTTAAAATGTGATTGGGAGGGGAGGGAAGGAAGGAAGGAAGGAAGGAAGGAAGGAAGGAAGGAAGGAAGGAAGGAAGGAAGGAAGGGAGGGAGGGAGGGAGACATCAGGATCTTGGGAGATTGTGGGAATGTTTTCTATAGTCGTCTCTGGTCTACTGGGAGGGCTTTGTGCTAACCCCACTCTCTCCCCCTCCCTTCTTCCCCGACAGGGTGTTCAGCTCCTAACCAGGTCCCTTCTGCCCCATTCGGATGGATGCCAGGCTGGGATGCCTGCCCCCAGGCCTTCTCCAGGTGGAAGGTCCTAGGTTTGGGAAAGATGGACTCTGCTGACTCTTTCTTATGGGACTCCCGTGAAATGCGCGCTCCCTCTTGTCCTGTTGTTGCATCGTGGTTTTTGGGTTCGTTTTTCTTCTTTTTAGACTTCCCATGGGGCTTCCCTTGGCCCCCTTTGTTTCCTCTTTGAACTTTTCTGCTGCAATGCAATGGCTTCTTCTCCGCAGCAGCTCTTATGAAATGATTTTTCTTCTCACCCTCTTTCTCTCTCTCTATTCCAAGGGCATACCACAGCTGCATGAAATCACCAGATCACTCCCATTTGGCATTTCCATGTTGGTTTTCTGGGGTTTCTTTGGAAAGGCAGCAGGGACTGGGGAGGAGAGATTAGCTGTGGGTTTCTTCCTATGGATGGTCTCCAGCACCTAACGTCACACACCATCCTTTTTTAAAAGTTATTGTCATTTTTTGGTGTGCGTGTGCACGCACGTGTGTGTATGTGTATGTGTGAGGGGCATGGGTCCTCATCTGTTCTCCTCTTGCCTGTGCAAGCCTGTTGCCTGCAGACCTTTGGTGCAGAGAAATTGTTTTCCCTTGGCACATGCTGACCCTTTCTGTGTTCCCACTCAACAAAGCTGGCGCCATTTTCTATGAACCACTTGGGAGCCCCTGGATTGTACGACATTGGCATTCAAGTGGTCAGGGTGGCTGTGATGACTGGAGATGATTTGTCCCCCACTTGGGATTGAAATCAATTAGTATATAAGCCACCAAGGAACAAATCCATCTCATGAATTCCATATACCATGCTCTTGCTCCCACTTCTCTGTCCCCTGACACATCATCTAGTTATGTCCCTCAAACCTTTTCCCAGGTCTGTCTGCTACACTGCTCCTGGTCCAGGTTCTGCCACTATTTGGCACTGAGCAAGTCACTCCATTTCCCTGGGTCTCAATTTCTTTCTCTGTAAAATGGATGAGAATCTGTAAGGAATAAGCTCCTCCTCCCGCCTCCCCCCAAAAAAAAGTTGTCTGAAAGTAGAACAGACTTCCTCTCCAGTAGAGTCCTTCAAGCAGATTTGGATGGCCTGACAGGCAGCCAACAAGCATTTATAAGCACCTACTATGTGCCAGAAATGATGCTATGTACTGGAAGTACAAAGAAGGGCAAAACCAATCCCTGCCGTAACTTGGTACAAATAAGGTATAGACAGAGTCCATGGAAAGCCACTCATCAGTGATGTTGTAGAGTAAAGTTAACAAGCATCTATTAAGCACCTCCTGTGTGTCAGGCACTGTGCTAAGTGTTGGGCATACAGTGAAAGAAACAAACCCACAATTCCTGCTCTCAAGGAACTCACAGTCTAATGGGAATGCATTCCAAAGGCTGGGGATGGCCAAGGCAACTTCTAAATTTCTTACAACTCAAGAGTGTGTAAAAGAGGAGAAATGAAAAGTCTCTAAGCTGCCTTCTGAGCCTAAAAGTCTGTGATCCACTTGAAGCTGGCCAAAAGCAGCAGTCTGGGAATCACAAGCCCTACATTGACCTTGCTGTGTGATGTTGGGGAAGTCTCCTTGCCTCCACATGCCTCTGATTTTCTCAGCTATTTTTTTTTTTGAGAGAGAGGGAAAGAAGACTTTGCTTCCTCAGCTTGGAGACAGTATAAAGGTTGTTTCTTGAGCGCTACATTATGTCAACACTTAACACCGTTAGTTGGTTTCTGGCTCCAGTGGTAGACTTGCCCTCTCCCCCTGAGATATGAAACCTGAAAGGATAGTTACAAGAGGGGCAGAATAAAGACACAAGGTGTACCCATGTACCCTCGACAATAGGAGACAGCAGTGGACTGTGGTAGTTCAAAAAGTACAGGAGATGCTGCGTTACACTAATGGAATAAAGAAGGTTTTAGTCCTGTTGTCTGTCCTCTGCTGCCCTGATCAGACCATATTTGGAGGACTTGTCCAGAGGAGGATGACCAGAACAGTGAAGGGTCACCAGGTCACGCCATCCAAGCTCAATGGGGGACCTGGGGATGTTTAGAATCTAGAAGAAAAGATTTAGGACAGTGTGCATAACTGCTGAGTGGAAGAGGATTCAACTTGGAACTAGAAAAAATAGATGGAAGCAGCAGAGGTAGATTTTGACACAGGGACAGTGAGATGTAGCCAAAGGTGGTATGCCTTCACTGAATGTCTTCAAGCAAAGGCCAGAGGACCCCTTGGTATGGTTATTGTTGAGGGAATTCAGGGTTACGTTGGACCAGATGCCCACTGAGGTGCCTTCCAGCTCTGAGATTCTGTGATCTTGCGCAGAGGAAGAGATTCAGGGATAGATGTGTTCACTTCAACAGTCTGACCCTATAGAACAGAGGTTCTTCACCTTTCTTCCAAGACTTCTGACAATTTGTTGAAACCTATGGACCTCTCAGAATCATATTCTTAAATGCATTAAATAATAGATATAGGATTACATACAGGAAACCAAGTATATTGAAATACAGTTATCAAAATATTTTTAAAAGCAAAGTTCAAGGTCTCTAGGTTAAGAATCCATGCCTTAAAAAGATGAATAATTTAATTAGATGCTTTTGACATAATTCCCTTCTCTTGATCCAGATTTTAAAAGTCCTTTCTAAAAACTTTTGCCGCCCTACCTAATGGAAAGCAAATCTTCTCCCATTCATGATAATCCTGACCTCTCCCTGGCTAGGCCCCTTAGTGTAATTGCCTCCCCAAGAAAGAACTAGTAAAGTTTCTGCCTATTTGTAGGTGCTAATCAATGTTGGGTGGCATCTGAAAAAAACAATGGTCTCCCAGGTGATGAAGCCTCAGAGGGCCTGCTTTAACCCTACAGGATAAGAGAGAGGCCTCAGTTTCCCATCCATGCCCTAGCCCTTGGTTTTCTTTATTATTTTGGATGGGCAACATTTCTTATATAGAGCACCCTCTGACTGAGCTTGGAGACCTGGCAAAGAGAAAACACTCGGGCCCCCTTGGCCAGAGTTAACATAGCTGTGAGGCCAGATAATCTCTAAGAACCAATCTCATGGAAGCTAGGAGTGCAAAGGGACCTTCCAATGAGCAAGCCCGCCCAGGATAGATGGTTGTCCTTCTCCTTCCCTAAGACCTGTAAGGAAGATGGCATCACACATGGTTCGTGCTACTGTTCTATCCCACGGTGGTCAGCAAAATCTTCCTCATGTCCAGTCACAATCCCAAAGCAGTGGAGAGAGGTCCAGATTTAGGATTAAGAAGACCTGCATTCTAATGCTGCCTCAAACACATCCTAGCTGTGTCACCCTTGGTAAGCCGCTTTCGGATCCCATTTCTTCACTTCTAAAATGAGGCTAATAATATTACATGCTACACATGGTTGTCCTAAAGATCAAATGAAAAAATATCTCTAAGATGCTTTGCAACTATAACAAGCTATGTAAATGTTAGCAATGATAATTCGCTCTCCTTTTTTTCTTTAAGCCAGTTTTCTCTTATTTAATCAAGAGAATGGCTCCAGCATCCTCCTTATAAAAGCCCCTTCAATGAGTTGAAGATGGTCACTGAGTCATCCCTTCACCTTCTTCAATTAAAATAACTCTGGCTCCTCTCATGGCTCCTCCCAAGGCCTTTTTTTCAGTCCTTCTGAGCCTTCTGAGTCACATCTCCTAAGATATCACTAGCTCCCCAGAGCTGCTGCTGCTGCCTCTGCCCTCCCTCTTCCCTTCCCCTCTGACATAGACTGTCCTCTCTGATTTCCATTCCCAACTAAGCTTCACGTTTTCACAAATGCCCCAATCTTTGATAAATATCATTCGTAAGGAGGATTGTGACTGCAGCCACTCATTCTAAACTGGGACTCAGAAAACGAAAGAGTCAAATGGAGAAACCACAATGTGTCTCTAGAAATGGGTGTCATCCTAAACTCAGTCCCTGGCCCCCAACACAAGCTTCTTTATAGCCACCCGAGACTAGCTATCAGGTAGGAGATTAATCAGGTGAGATCCTCAATTTCCAAGTACTCCTTAACCTTGAAAAATCTTAAAACAGCTTTATCCTCAAACCAGAATCCTTCTGTGTGTCATAGGGTCATAGGATTATGGTTTTACAACTGGAAAAGGCCTTAGAGGTGATGCAGTCCAAGCCCATACATCCCTCAAAGAGACAAAGCAGCAGGCCCCAGACAGAATGAGAATATGGTCTGCTGAAGAGCAGCCCCTTAGATCTAGAGCTTTCAGTGATGCTGGAGGCCAGGCTCATTTTACAGATGAGGAAACTGAGGCAGGAGGTACTTAAGTGACTTCCTCAAGCTTACACAGGTAGTGTCAGAGGTTGGGTATGAATCCACATCATCTGATTCCAATTCCAGTGATCTTTCCATTGCCCCATGATTTCCTGGGCAGATCCCTTGTGAAAGAAAGAGAACCAGATCCTTTGACCTTCTTCATCCCAGGACAGTGGCCCAAGCATGGATGGGTTAAGATCTGCATTGTTGGAGGGTGTGGTCTTCAGAGTATCACTTTAAGTGAGTAGATGCTGCCCCCTTGTGGTGATTCTCAGGCAATTCCTTGAAGTCCTGGGGTTGTCCAAAACAATGTAATCCCATCCGAAAATTACAGAAATTCACTTTGCAGTTTTTTAAATCTGGTTACCTGGCATCTGAGAGTGGTCCCATTGGGGGGGGGTGCATTTCTTCTTCTCTAACTTATTAATAAGTAGGATTTCTTAACTCTAAATATCCTACTAAGAGTGAGGTAAAGGACCAGATCCTTCTTCCTCCTTCTCCAACTCCTGCCACAAAGAGTAAAGACAGAACCTGGTGAGTAAAATCATTTTCTCTCTAAGTCAGCAGAATGGTCCCTCAAAAAAGGCTAATGATCCCTAGATGCAGACCAGGCCTCAGCAAGCTAACAGCCCATTCCCAATAACAGAGAAGGAAAAGAAATGGAGAAATGCTTCTCCCAAGATGGTTGAACTTGAGTCAACCTCACTGGCCTCAAAAACTACATCAACCAAATGTATACACACTCAATGTTACTCTCTCTCTCCCCTTCCCTTTCTTCTTTTCTCCCTCCAACCAGACTCCTAGCTTACATGTCTTTTTATACCCTACTCTTACTATCTTCCATGAAGGGTCTAGGCCAAGAGCACCAAGAAGTTGCAGGGTGGGATGGCAGAAGATACATTCTTGAACCCAAACTATGAGGCAAACAAGTAACATTCACCCTGGCTCTCTGTGACATGGTGAACTTTCTAAACCATTCTCTGCCCACCTAGCTGGACCCCCTCCAGTCTGAATGCAAAGCTGTCCACTGAGTTCACATGAAAACCTACGCTTGAGAACTCTATCACTGGCTCTTTCATCAGTTCATCTCAAGCCCCTATGTCCATCTTCATCCATGCCACTCCACCCAGCCTGCCTCCTCTGTTTGCCCTTTGACATCTGAATCCTTCTTTCTCCTTGCATCTTTCTGAACCTACCGATTCCATCGGAGGGCCTGGGTTACCCTGACCCTCTCTAGCCCACAGATAATCAAGTGAAAGGAATGCTGACCTGGGATTCCAGAGTTGCATCTCCACACTCCGTTATCCGCCTGCCATTTCCAAACTTTCCACTTGTTTTGAGAATGCAAAAGGCCAAACAGCAGTGATACCCCAAACAAGACAGGAGGGCCAAAGGGACCCCTGTAGCCACACCGGATGTCAGAAGGGTCCTCCCAGGACATGGGTACAAGAAAAGCCTCTCTAGCCGCCTTCTCTCTGCAGGGCCCTTCAGGCCACTGCAGAGATTGCCTCTGGTGACCAGGGCATTGGTTACAACGCCATCTGACCCTGAAATGTTTCTGTGCCTATGGCCCCGAAGGATAAAGGGCAGCTAGGCATGTCTTCATCCTGGGGAAACAATCGGATCTTTTTTCCAAAAGCCAAAACTGGGGACAAGGGAGGATGGGAGAAAGAATACATATGCTTCCGTTTAACCTCAGATGCACCTTTAAATATCTCGTTTACATCTGCCTGGCTTAACACAGAACCCAACTTATCAGCCAGACTGCCTTTGTAGCCAGAGACTAATCAGACCTTCTGCCCCTCACAACCAGCTTGCTTCCAGTCAGAGTTGAACATTAAACAGCGAGGGTCTTAGATTCAGTTCTGTAGTTCGGATCAAATAACTCCATGAGGCTTTCTAACGGAGCTCCTCATGGATGCTTTCTGAAACCTTACAATGGCCTGAGCATTTCCTAAGCAAAATGCAAGGAAGAAAGGGTTATCTCCCAAATTGCAGTTTTTAAAGGAAGAAAGATTCCTTGAAAGCAAGGTGGAGCTGAAGATTCCTGAGCCTGAGATTCCAGGCCAAATTCCTTGGGTTCCCATCCATTCAGATGCACCATCCCCATCCCATCTCTCGTGAATAATCATAATATGTGCATAATAAAGAATACAACCGTGTTCTTTTTGTTGTGATCACCTACACCACTTGACAAGCTGAGGATGGACTCGGTGACTCAGGGGCAACTGTCTGGTCAGCTTCCGTCTTGAAGCACAGTTGTATATGTTTCCTGGGGGGGGGGGACTAGGAGGAACAGAGTTGGAGCAGGAGTGGATGCTGCATTTAATCATGGATTTTCCCCCCTACCTCTGAGCTCTTAATGCTGCTAAGTCTGTGCCATGCTCCAGCGCCTCTCTCCAGAACTGACTCCTGCTCAGTCTCTGAGGCTCTCCAGGCTGTGTTCTCCGCATGCACTTATTCTTCTGGATAGTTCCAATCTTCTGGTTTTATGGAATTAAAAAAAAATTATTCATGCTTGTTTGCATTATGGTTAAAAATTAAAAAGTGGACCTAACATCACAGACTGTGGTCTTTTGTGTGAATTGCTTAAAGTCTGTAAATTCTGTACCCTTCCACAAGATACAATTTTTGATTATACAGGATACATGTTTGCCCATCTGTGAAATGGGGTGAATAACATGTGCACTACTGGGGCAGGTAGTGGCACAGTGGGTAGAGCACCAGCCCTGGAGTCAGGAAGACCTGAGTTCAAATCCGGTCTCAGATCAGACACTTGACACTTACTAGCTGTCTGACCCAGGGCAAGTCACTTACCCCTAATCGCCTCGCCAAAAAGAAAAAAAACAACCTACCTCACACGGTTGTTGTGGAGAAAGAGCTTTCTAAATCCTAAACCACTATAGAAATGGAAGTTATTATTATTATTACTTTACTTAAAGTAAGGCAATGTGGTAAGAGCCAGAGTGCTAGGCTTAGACACCAGAAGACACAGTCCCAAACTTTAGCTCTGACACATACAGGCCCCTGGACCCTAAGAAACACACTTAACCAACCTCCATGTGCTTCTATAGATAGGCAACTATCTAGGACCAGTCTACTAAGTCATATATAGGTTGGGATCTACATTGGTACATGGAGTTCCCACACCAGGCGTTTCCCTATGCTGATGAAATCACTGTTGAAGGACCCAATTAAAAAGCGTTCATTAAGCCCTTACTATATTCCAAGCACTGCGCTAAGCATTGGGGATACAAACAGAAAAGTGAGCTGGCCCCTGCCTTTGAGGGGCTCACATTCTAACAAAAGGAGACAACACATAGAGGAGGGTTGCAGCTGCAGGGTAAATGGTAAGTCCTGAAGGTTCACAGGAAAATTCCTTCACAAGTTCACTTTTTTTTAAAACCACACCTGGGATTTTATTGATATAAAGAATTTCCAGTGAGGAAACTCCCTCTACCACTGGAGATTAGCACCTGCTCTGCAATTTAAAAGTCTTCCGGGAGTTCCCTGAGACACTGAGAAGTTAAGTAAGTGACTTACCCAGGGTCACACAGCCAGGACTTGAACTTCCTGATATGGAAGAGCAAATCACAGATCCAAGAATCCATTATTTCATTCACGCTATCTTTGTGAGTTGTTGTAGACAAATAAATAAAATAAAACAATAATAAATAAATGGGGGTGGTCACTTGATGGCCGATCTTCTAGTAATGGGAGTCTATGCACTTAGTTAAGATGATCTTAAGACCACAGGCTCAGCCTGAGGCCAGATCTATCCCTGAAACTCTTCCAGCTCAGAAAGGAAGACCTGCCAGAGATTGCCTTCCACATCCTTGGAGAACCTGAGTCAACTCCAAATCCCAATGGAGTACCAGTAGACTACCTTCCTTACAAGCTAAGAGAAGGAAAGAGGAACAAGTGGTCTGGAAAACCTGAGGCAACATGGCTAGGGTGGATCAAAGATCATCAAATCAGACCCTTGGCAGCAACCAGAGAGACCATCGGCTCCAACCCTTTAACTCGCTTTTAACAATTCAATAGACCTTTATTATATGTCTTCTATGTGCTAAGCAATGTAACGGTCGTTCCCTGCACCACGATGAATAGGACACATGTCCTGCTCTCAAAGAACTTACAATTAAAAGCAGAAAACCAAGTAGATAAATAACAGTGAGAAAAGAAGAATGAGAAATGCTCCAAAGCAATGTTCTGAGAGAAATATAAAAAGATAGAGACTTCATCTGAGATCGTGGAGACGCTTGAATTTTACAGATGAGGAAAATGAGGCCCAGAGAGAATTAAAAGTATCATATATTGAGAGCTGGAGAGGACCTTAGGGGGCATCTGGTCCTACTACTTTATTTTAAAGAAGTAACTAAGGATCAGGGAAAGGACACGATTTACCCAAAGTAACACAGGTAGTAAGGGTCAAAGCACAGATCTGAACCCAGGGCTTAAAGTGTGGTGGGTGTAGTAAGAGCCAGGAAATAGGTGTCAAGGTGGATCTAGGAGCAAAAAAAGGAAAGATGAGCATTAGGAATATTATCCCTCTGCATCTTCCCACCTGGAGCCCATTAAGGAATAAGAGTGGCCCGAGCTACTGGAGGAGGCAAAGTTCACACTTGCTTGTTATAAATTTTTACAACAGCTCTGAATTTGTGAGCCTGAGAACATTTCTTCCAAGTCTCAAGAAACACATAGGAGCTATCAGTGGCCACTCAATTACTGCGAGTTTGCAGACTGGGGAGTCCACCAGATTGTTTCTTTTCCCTTAAGGACAACGAGAATATGCTGTCAATATGGTGACAGCAGTGCCTCTGACCTCTCTGGGCTTCAGTTTCCTCATCTGTAAAATAAAGGGGTTGGGCTCAATGGCCTCTTGTGTCCTTTAATGCTCTAAATCTGTGATTTTGGGCCAAGATTACAAATTAGGTGCTGCTCCAAGGTGAGGGAATTTCCTCAGCTCCCCAGGTTTATCACATTGATACTGTAATCTGAAGCAAACACTCTCTTGAGGGAATTTAGATCTCTCTTTCCCTCCTGAAAGGGGAAGACGACCGGAGAATGAAAAGGCCAGTTCTTGAGATTTTAATTTCCTTTTTCACTAAAAGAGAAGAAAACCAGAAGAAGATGATGCCTGTGAAATTAAAGAAGGTTTTCATTAAGCAGGAAAGAAAAAAAAATAACATGCTCATGGGTACTATCTGGGCTGTGCTGAATAGGATGCCAGGTAATGGATGGGAAGAGTTTATATACCTTTTAAACAAACAAAGGTAAGGAATTTGGTGGAAAAGATGGGCTTAGAAAGGAATAAGTCAGTGGGCCCATCTCCAAGGGAAGGGGGAGTGAGGAACTCCAGATGTCAAGGCTGTGGACAGAAATCAGAAGGCATCCTTGGTGACCAAGCAGTTCACAGGTCAGGGCTTGATAAGAGATGTCTCCAAAAACAGGATAACTCTGATAGCCTCATAACCAAAGTTAGGGCAGTCTCTGGAGATAAGGTTGTCTCCAAAAAGACCATAAAACAGGATATATCCATAGTCTCATAACCTGCAGTCAGGAAAGTCTTTGAAGATAGGGATGTCTCTTGAAGGTCCATAAACCACCAAATGGCTTAAGGGCTACTTCAAAGCTGATGTGAGTTTAATTGGCTTCAGAGTTGGTGATTTTCTGCACATCCTGCTGGCTTCAGTCTCGGGGTTACTGCAAAGGACTTTTGGTATGTCAAGCAATTATGCTTCTTAATACAGCTAGTCCTCATACAACTCTTTTCTGTTACCTGGATAATTGGGGATAACTCTGTTACTTGAATAATCAAGCAAGTCAAGGCATTTAGTATACTCATTTACAGATGCACCCATATAGTACCACGGAAAGAACATTGCAGAAATCGGGGTCAGATTCTGCCTCCATCACTTATCTGTATACTGTGACCTTCCACAAGCCACTTAATTTCTGTTCAGTTCCCCCGTCCACCTGAATTTTAATGAAAACAGTCAACACGACAAAATGAATGTCTTTAAGCGGGGCAAATGAATTGTGCCTGGGGTGCTACTTAGCAAGTGCTGGGGAACCCAGGGGCCTGGGAACAGGGTTTATATAGGGTACTAAGGCAGAGAGAATGTCTAGGCTGCAGGTGGGAGAGGTCAGGCATCTCACTGTCTCACCAGATAAGGTAACAAGCTAAAGTCGACAAAGAAAACTTGGGAATCTCAGCCAAAGAGGACAGCTTGGGAGATTTACAAAACAATCAGAGGCTGGAGTGATAATCAGAGCTTGTGATCAGCCCCAGGCGATTCATTGGCCTGGGAACAAAACCAGGCCAAGCTCAGTCAGTTCTCGGCTGACTGCATTTGTGCCGCTCTCATCTATAACATGAAGGAGATGGAGCTGATAACGTCCACGGTGCTTTCAACTCTGGATCTGCGAGCCTGTGATCTTACTGGCTGTGTGATCTTGTATAGGTCATTTAAACTCTGTGTTCCAGTTTCCTCATCTGTGGTAGGAGAAGATTGCCATGCACGACTTCTGAAGCCCCTTCCAGTTCTGACCCTATCATGCCAGGAGACTGTGTGGACGGCATGTAAACGGCATTTGGTGAGAATCTGCCAAGGAAAGCCCTTGAAGTGAGCGTGAAGGCCACGCCAGTAGAAGTGGACTTTGGAAGTTCCTATCAAGTAGAAAGGACTTTATGGATCTGGAGATTAAACAATTAAGAAGCATTATTAAGTACCTACTAAGTGCCAGGCCCTGGGGATAAAGTCCTTGCCCTCGAGGAGCTTATGTTTTGCTGGGGGGCACATCATTTCCCAACTGGATGGTTCAGTGGACAGAGCACTATCAGGAAGACCTGAGTTCAAATCCAGCCTCAGACACTTATAGCTGTGTGACCCTGGGCAAGTCACTTAACCCGTGTTTGCACTCCAGAATCTTTGCCAAGAAAACCCCATAGACTATATGGCCCGTGGGGTCACAAAGAGTCGGACATGACCTAAAAACAACAATGCGACATTAATCAATATTAACATTTGTGTGGCCCTTTAAAGGGCTGCAACATGCTTTATACATATTGCCTCATTTGGTCAACCCTAGGATGTAGGTGCTATTATTTCCCCATTTGGCAGGTGAGGAAACTGAGGCTGAGAAAGGTTAAGTGACTTGCCTAAGCATGTTTGAGGCAGGATTTGAACTCAGATCTTCCTGACTCCAAGTCCAGCACCGTCTACTGCCTCAAGTTGACTTGATCAACCGCTAAGCATTTATGAATCACATTCCAGGCACTGTGCCAAGTAGTAAGGCTGCGTAGACACATATCAGCCTCAAAACGCTTCCCTAACGACTTCATCTGTGTTTAGAGTAGAAGGTATGGGTAGGAAAGAGGATAAATCTCAATGGACAAAGTGTAAGTTTAAACCTAGAAGGTACTATACAAGCCACCGAGTCCATCTCCTCCATTTTGCAGCCATTAAGCCAGACACCTGCTAGGTGCTGAGGACATAAAGAAAGACAAAAACATGGTGCCTTCACACTGTCAAGGAGTTTACATTCTAATGGAGAAGTC